CTGGCCATGCCGGGAGATCATGTGGAGCAGGGTGTTCTGGGGCGGGCGGGGGGTTAAGGGTGATGGTTTAGGTTTTAGGGCAGCAAAGCCCACAGTTAAGTAGTTCGGGTCGAAGAGGTCGGCAAGATGATAAAGATCACCCCACGGAGGGAAAGTACTTTGCAGGTTGAACTCGTGGTATCGCCTGTCATTGCTTTTCTGCGCAAACAAATCTTGCCAGGAGTTGCCACTTGTCCTTATCGCAATTGAAGGAGCAGCCAACCAACTACGCTCCACACGTACACAACGAGTTGCAAACCTTTTTCCAAACTGTGCAGGTGGCACCGCTACCCACGATCTTCAGCATTTCCATCCTGAAGATGAGCATCTCGCCGCCTCGGCGGTATATTCAGCTGTCGGGAAACTGTTAACGATATGCAGCTGCCTTGCGGCTATCGCTAATGATGCTCCCGGCACGACGCCTTGCAGCTGCCGCTGATGCAGCTGGCCAGGCCGGCAGGTGAACCCAAACAATGTTGCAGCTGAGGCTGCTGAACCCCAACGGCTTCGCGGGCTGATGCTCATAATGCTCGCGATGCTCGCCCGGCCGGCCGCTGAGCTGAACCTTAACAGCTTCTCGGCTGATGCTCGTGATGCTCGCCCGGCCGGCTCAACGGCTTCGCGGCTGATGCTCATGATGCTGGCACGGCCGCCTGCTGAAACTCAAAGCCTTGCAGCTGATGCTCACGATGCTCGCCCAGCCAGCTGCTGACCCCCAACGGCTTCGCTGATGCTCGTGATGCTCGTGATGCTCGCCCGGCCGCTGAACCCCACGGCTTCACGGCTGATGCTCATGATGCTCGCCCGGCCGAACCCCAAACGTCGCTCGGCCGGCTGCTGAACCTCAACGGCTTCGCGGCCGATGCTCGTGATGCTCGTGATGCTCGCCCGGCCGGCTGAACCCCGTTGGTGCCGACAACTGAAACCCCAACAGCCTGGTGCTCATGATGCCCGATCGGCTGCTGCACAGCCGCTTACCATGCTCGCTCGCGGCCGGCTGCTGAACCCCACTGATCCGCAATGACCTTGCATGATGCTTATGATGCCCACCCAGGCAGCTGAAACTCAAAGCCTTGCAGCTGATGCTTACGATGCTCGCCCAGCCAGCTGCTGACCCCCAACGACTTTGCAGCTGCTCATGATGCTCGCCCTGGTGGCTACTGAATCCCGCTGGCCCTATACCTGGAGCTCATGATGCACGCCCGTGAACCCGGCTGCTGATTCCCAAACGACATGATGCCGTGATGCCCGCCCAGATGGCTTAATTCCAACGATGTCGCAGCTGATTGCTACAAGGACACTGGCTTGACGTCCCCAGGATACGTTTAGACTTTGTACGAAAGGTGATCCCAGCAACTGTGTACCTGGAGCACAAAGGAGGGGACGTCTCGAGACCATGCACAAATTGCTTGTCTCAGCTGTCGGCCGTTGATCTTAGGGCCACTGCCGCCATCCCCGTACCCTCAGCTTGCAAACGAGCTGAGCAAACAGACAAGCCTGGCAAGGCTTCTTTCCTGAGCCGAAGGTCGAATTTGGGGCCCTGCCAAGCTTGGAGGGGATGTAGAGCTCCCACTTGTCACCCTCGACCTGCAGACTCGAGGATATAGTCCATCTTATTCAATATAGTCCCCTCATATAGTCCCCTCGGCACCGCCAGGCTCCGGGCCATGAGCTGCATTGCCTCCGTCCAGCCCTTGATGACCTCACAGGGTGGACGACTGAAAAATGAGGGTGAAGCCTTGGATGCTTCCACCATGGAAGCGCAAGAAGAAGAAGAAGACCAGCGCTGTGGCAAGACGGCAAGCGAAATTGCTGGGTCTTCGATCAGAACTTACCATGCAACATCGGTGGCTGACAGCATCACAATCTTCAAGACCTTGATGTCCCACATGATATGTCAAGATATATGTCTTTCTAATCTCAGCTACGGGGTATGCCTCCAAGCAATTTAGTTAACTAGCATCGAACGATCTACTGAATCTACTGCAAGAGCAACCATGCCACAAGCACTTCGTGCCTGGTTCGGAGCAAAGTCGGTAGGGGAGTCTCGCTTGTACGAGGAATCAAACCTCACCCAACCATGAGCTCAAGCACACCCAACTCTTTGCAACTGATTTGCGCCCTGCAAATGGTAAAGCCTTGTAGGAAGAAAACCGTATTTTTCTGCCATGTTCGGCCACTCCACTTCACATACCCCAAGATTTCAAAAAGTTGTCCACCCTACCCGGCGAAATCTCGCACTTCGATGCTCCTTAATGCGTGCTACAAGTGAACTGGGAACCGCCTCGCCACAGCTAGAAGTTCAGAACTCCGCAAAACTCCGCAACCTAAAACGCATGAACGTCTGATCTCGGCTAAGTCCTCCGGCTCCGACCACTGATCCTCTGCGATGTCCATCGCGTTCGGCGTGAGGCTGAGGGTGGTGCCTGCCTGCCGAGATGCTCACTTCCCAACAACTGCTTGTGAATTGCAAACTGCCTGGAAGGGGCTTTCTGAACGACGCTGTGGGCAGGGCCAGATGCATGTGCCTGAGGCCATGACGTAGTGGCAGCTGCAAGTTGTATCCTGGCATGTTGGGCTCATGGAAGTGCCCCTCCATGGTTTGAGCTACTAGGCTACTTCTTGGATGGCGTCTGTGCCCCAGCCTTCTTCGGATGGAACTTGCCCTCACCCTTCTTGAGGACCTGTACGATCATTTTCGGGCTTGTGGGATCCGAGTCTGGAAGGGGGGAGGGGGGGTGGGGGGGTGGGGGAGGGGGGGAGGGGTGGTCGGGCATTCGGAAAACCTAAACCTAAATGCCTTCCAGCCTTCGAGGTCAGAGGCCTCTGCTCATAAGGTTCATGGGGATGTCCATGTGGCACAAAAGCATGGAACTCGGATCCGCAGCAAAACTTGTGCCGCAAAGCCTACATTGGACCCGACCCCGTCTTCAGCACCATGTCATGTGCTAAGGCTGTTAAGGGCTCAGCGATTCTTTGCATCTAGCTGTGGCCAAATCTTCGCTGAGACCTCAAGAACTACTACCGGAAACGCTTCAGGGCCCAAAGAAGAGTCGCCCCCCAAAGTCTGAAGCAAGACTAGTGAGTCTCTCGGAGCAGCCTTGTACTGCAAGCCAGACTTCAGGGTGACGACACCTCCCACGGGCAACGCGCGTGAGTCGCCCGAGCTCCAGAACTTCAGACATGCATGTGCCAGTAGTCAAACGGTTCACAACTTCTTTTTAAGTCCGCCGCCACCCCCGCAGGTGGTCTTGCTTCTGGAGAGCAGAACTCATTTACATGCTCGTGCGAGCTGCTTGTCATGTTGTGATCACCGGATCTACCAGCGCAGGGCGTGCAGCCTTGCATCGTCCGACATTGACTCAGCGACATCTCTTCATCTGTAGATCCCACATGTCACACCATCCCTGCCGGGCATGGCTTCTATCAACACAAGGTCGTCTGAGTGGTTTGAAGGTCAGCAAGTGAATTCTATGCAGGGCCAGGTCCCTGAACCAACTGGCAGCATGGCGGCATCAGGAAACGTGTTCTGGCCGCTCTGGCTTGACCAGCACAACAACTGTCAGTTTCTGAGGTTCATCCTGCCGCTCCACTCCCAATAGGTACAAGCATCCTCGGCATTCAAAGGCTTTGCAGGAAACCACGCTCCACGCTCTGGCATAGCTCTGGCCATTTAGGAACTCGAGCGAAATACTCCAGGACGTGTGCCTGTCGGCCCACTGGGCCATCGATGTAATGACAGCTCTGGTTCATATCCCAACCTGTCTCTGTAGCTGGTTTACAAAGTCTACAATCGCTTCTAAAAAGCTTATCATCCCCCACCCAGGCATCTCGCCTGATAGGCAACAAAAGGCAGAATACTTGTGCTGCTGGTGTGGCCAGCCCTTCTATAGCCGCATACTTGCGGGGTCTACTTCCATCCCAAACTTCGGGATGTCCCTCTCTGTACCTGATTGGGAGCTTTCCCTGATCTTTGGGGAGTTCCCAGCCAGGACTTTGGCAAAGCTTCAAACTTCAGCAGCTCCACATGAATCTTGTATATATACCCACTAACCCTCACATAAAGTGTGCCAGCCGACATGCCGGTGTCCATGCCCCACTGAAGCCCCTGCTCTTGACAAGTGGATGTGGCTGCTTTCCCTTTCCAAACGTGGCGTAAAGAGCAGCAAAAGCCATCTTCAGTCCTCGGCTGTTAAGCGTCAGGGAATCATGGCATGCCATCTGGACAAGCAGAGGAAGGGACGTTTGTGGCTTTACATTGCGACGAACAATTTCTCTCTTCATGAAGTATGCCGTGAGGATACGTCTCCCTGAAAGCATCAAGCTTCGAGGGTGCATACAGTTCAATGATTGCCTCGTTGATGCCGTGTCAGCTCAGACCTATGTCAGAGCTGCGCTGCAAATTCCTAGAGATGTCCCAGGCTGCTTTTGGTGCTCTCAAGCTGTCAACCTGAAGCCGGGTTCGGGACGCTAGTGCCGAATCGCAATTATTCCTGTAGCCTGGCCACTGTGCTCGTCCCCTCTGCGCTGGATGACTCCGAATCCTGGCATTGGAAATCACGCAGGCGTCGTGACTTCTGCACGCTTGACATGGGCTAGGCCCGGCTGTTGGATCACTGCACTTTCTCATTAAGAAAACTTACGGAGCGAGCCTCGCTGGGCGGCTTGTCGTTCAAGCACAGGGCCGAAGAGCCGCCAACGATGTACATCTCGGCTTATGTGAAACCACCTTCAGCCGCCTGCAGCCGCCTTCAGCCACCTTCTTGAGCAAAACCACCTTCTTGATAAACCGCGGAACGCGTTCAGAATGAGGATGCTTACTCAACGACGAACACTTTAAGCTTGAAGCTTCCTGTGAGGGAAGCTGCGAAGATCCATATGGCTGTTGTCCTCCATGAACCGATCTTCTACCGTCTTGTGTCAACCCCCTCAACACAAAATGCTGAAAACAAAAGCAACTGTTAGCTGCGTTGCCAAAAACCGATACACCCGTCATAGCTGCGGACCCAAGGAGCTCCTGCCGCAAAGAGGAAGGCAACCGGCAGGGCTGTTTCCAGAGGCATGCGCGTTTCGATGGATGCGGTCACCTAGGCGAGGAAGGTCCAGGGTTGCAATGGTTGTAGTGTTTTCGAGTCGGCCCTTTCGCCTTTCATTGCTCGGGATTTTCGGGGGGGGTTAACCAGGCTCGGAGCACAGGTGTGGGGGCACATGGCTGGAGCTCATAAAGTCTCAGCCAAAAAAGGACGCCTGGATTTCTCAAGCCCGTGGTCCGTGCAATCAATCAATTTTCCACTTGTCCCCAAGGCAAGGGTGCTGAAAAATCACGTCACAAACTGCCTAGGGACGACGTGGCAGAGCTGCTGCCCAACGGTGACGCAGCAGTTCAGCAGTGCCATCTGCAGCGCAGTGCTCACCTGCAGGAGACTTTCATACTGGGATCATCTTGGCGCTTCGCAGCACGGCCTACAACTCAAACCCCCCATGTCTGTTTGCAGCCCGACACAACGCGCGTTGGTACACAAATCGTCGTTGTGTTTTCGTAGATGCTCAGAATGAAAAAAAGACTGAACGACTCTGCTCTCGACGAGAGATGAAAAACACCGAGTGTCAACTCGTATCTGCCATGTGATGGTAGTGAAAAAGTGTGTTTTCTTCGCTGTACATAAGATGCGCCTTCTAGTGTCCACACGTAGAAGTCCTCCAGTATGAGCTTGGGAGGGCGTGGCAAAACATGCACTAGGGCGGGGGGAGAGGTGGGGAGGTGATTGCCGATGCTTCCAAGATATGGCAAGGCAGCACTAGAAGCGTGATTCAGGGGCTGCCAACAATTCCAGCAAAAACTTGTGTCAGCATCCAGGAGATGAGGTCTCCGAAAAGTACGCTCTTTGACAGTTGACAGAAGGCAAACCCAGACACACGTCGGGGTAAGCAACAGGCTGAAGCATCTTCAAGGCTTTCTGGGCACGCCCCCCAGTCCCCCCCCCCCCCCTCGGCCAGGTGTTTCCAGAAGCTGCCACAACTCCCTGTCAGCTTCGGATCGTGTCTGCTACCTCTGCAACACACGCTTGAGCAAGCGTGAAGAGCTATGCCAGCAAGGGGCCTCACAAGAGCCTCTATACTTCCAGGAAGATTTGCAGGTGCCTGCTTGCCCTCCTGCTCCGCACGCTTGTTCAAGGTTGCCACAAGCCTGGCTTTGTCTCAGGCTGAGTCTCTGAGAACTTTAGGGGTGAGGGGCCGACAGCTGCAACCGCGACGAAAGATGCCAGGAAATGCCTGAAACCTGGAGCGTTCTAGGCCAGCATCGTCTTCAAGTCACACGAAAACCGTACAACCAAGCCAGGCTGCCCAAAAGGGATGGCAAAGGATCCCGTCTCCGGCATGATGGAGAAGATGAAGATGATAATGGCCTTCGACCGACAGCTATACAGAGAAACGAATGCTTTTCAACAGCTTGTGCGTCCAGATCCGCAGGTCTGCCTGTTTTTGTCCGGAAAGGTTTCTAGGCTTGGACAGACTCAGTTCTTCTTGGCATTGGCAGAAAGAAAACGAATCGCACAGCATGACCCGTGACTTCCTCTTCGAAGACATTCATTGTCATTTCGGATATGCCAAGGGGCAAAAGCTGAGTTGTGGCCCACGATATAACCAGCAAGGAAGCTGACGATGGCTCCAACGAAAATACCTGAAAGCCACTTTCCGATCGAGCGGCAGACACTCAGCGTGGTGCAGCTGCAGCACACATTTGGCTCACAATAACAGCTACGCTAGATACTGGAAATACACGACATCGGTACGAGAGGTGTACTTAGTGTGCGGGAGTTGTGCGGGCCACGCCCTTCCATGGATGGGATAGCCACAGCCAAGTGGAGACGAGCGTCAGGGAGCATAGATCAAGCGTGGCCGAAGGCTTGTCTTGAGCAGGAGCACAATGATCCTGGGACAGGACACACTTCTCGGCGCATCTCCAGCAGGTTGCCACTTCAGAACGTGCCATTGGCGCCCAACCAAGAATCAAAGCAGCGCAGCGGCGCACCATTCTAACCGAGCATCGACAGAGCTGCAAGCAGCTGAAAGCCCGAGCGCATCTGTCCACCCATGCTGAAGGCATGCATGCCTGCCAGGTGATTGGGCGATGAGTGGAATGAATTAAAGCAGCTGTACCTTGTGTCGCCTAGATGCGACACCGACCTCCAGACTCCAAATGCATAACGCATAGGAGTCATAAGAGCGTGCGAGCTGCAGTGTTCTATGCGGCCCTGTCCCTTGGGGTCGAGACGAGGGGTACAGTTGTTTCTGAGCAAGGGTGAGGAATTCAGTCAAGGAGGGAGCGGATTGCTACAAGTGATATCACGGTGTAGGCCAAAATGTTTCGCTGGTTGGCAGCAGATGGGAGCCCTCAAACTCACAAAGCAGCTCCTCTCCCCAATTTCTGAGCTCAACTCTGATTTGCTGAGGTGAGGAATCCCACAATCAAAGAGGGAGCGGAATCTACAGCCAAGTCTACAGCATTCAGCTTTTGCAGATACAGCTCAGTGACAGCAAAGCCCAGCCTTCGCCGTATCTCAGCTTTGCCTCAGAGCCCTCTGGAGCATGTTGGTCACCTCCGGATCCGGAGTTTGGGGCTCTCTTTCCCCAACAGCGGGTACGCTTGGGGTTTGCAATCTGGTAAGGGAGAAGGTCGGTGACTAGATTTTGTGCACGGCTTCGCGGAAAGGCAAGGGACGTGTGCGCGCGCCAAACTACTGTAACTTTTTGCGCCTGGGCAATTAAAAGTAGTCTTCAGGGAGTCCACCGAGGAAGGAAAAAAGCGCCAGGCAGTTTGAGCGCACTAACCTGCCTGTGCAAGCAGAATGAGATCCATGTGTGCTGCCGAAAAAAAGATATGTGTATGTGCGTTCGCAGCACACAGCACGCACTAACATGTCTGTGCAAGCAGAATGAGATCCATGTGGGCTGGCCGCATATATGTGTGTGTATGCGCGAAGCAAGTTTTGGTTCCTATAGATTTTGGCCCTTGCTTTTGCAACCGCTTTCTTGCCGTAAAGATATGCCTACCCAACAGTTGCTGTCTGCGTGGTCGTATACCACGCAGCTATTTAGCGCAAGAACAGATACGTGCGAGTGGCGAGAACGGCGAGACACCCATGTGTGCCCGCGCAGCAGCAGTTGAGTCACAAGACCGCGACGGACAGCCGAGATTGTCTCGCCGGAATCTCTGCATGCCAAAAGATATGTGTGTGTGCGTGTGTGCGCGCGAAGCAAGTTTTGGTTCCCATAGTTTTTAGCCCTTGCTTTTGCAACCACTTTTTTGCCGCAAAAAAACGCCTACCCAACACCTGATGTCTGTGTGGTCGTGTAAGACGCGGCTGTTTAGCCGCAAGAACAGATCCGTGCGAACGGCGAGACACCCATGTGTGCCCGCGCAAAAGCATTCGTGCACGATCTTGTCGCGAACCTTTCCGTGTGTCGCGCCGGAGTGTGTCGCGCCGGACGCAGCACGCGGCACGGAGAGAGCAACAGCGAATGCAGCAGTATCTTGATATGAATATATTGAAAATACACACGATATTTATGCGAACAGAATGAGATCCATGTGTGCTCGCATCAAACGCAGCAGTTGAGTCACAAGACCGCGCCGGACAGCCGAGATTGTCACTCCGGCGGAATCAAAAGATGTGTGTGTATGCGCACGTAGCAAGTTTTGGTTTCGCCAACAGCGAGTACGCTTGGGGTTTGTAATCTGGTGAGCCCAAGCCTTGCTCCCTCAGATTTTTGAAGATCTTTGGGGCAACCAAACTCTGCGCACCACTGCGCTAAACTCTGCACCTGAGGTAACGCACATTGTATTTCAGTAATCACCCCCCCTCCCCCACTAAGCATGCTTATCTGGCCCCACAATATTGAAATATGGGAAAAACTCAATATTTCAATATTGGGCTGGATCCAAGATCCAAGATCCAATATTCCGCAGAAAGTGCTTCAAGGTGATGCAAAAAAGCCCCTGCTCTGGTCGAGTGAGAGTTTAGGGAGGTGGCATACAAATATTCAGGCCCTCTGGAAAGAAGAGAGGACGAGGGAAAAGAAGAACCGATTACGAAAAAATAATGTTCTAATTTAGGTTTTAGGGTTGATGGTCTAAAAAACTACATATATATATATATGAATTTAAAAAACAAATATAAATATACTTTCAAATACATGTATATATATATATATACACGTATATATTGCTAAAACATAAACGCCGGTTGCCTCTAACATAAAAGCTTCTTGTGTTAAATAAAAACTACGCTTGTTAAAACAACAGGCCCTTATGCTAACCGCTTGTTACATTCACAAAAGTCTCTTGTAAGCGCTTAAAGCTGATATAAGTGTCTATTGAATGAAGGGTCAGGGCATAGCAAGACAACGGTTGCGAAAGCAAAGGCTAAAAGCAATAGTAATGTAGGAACCAAAACTTGCTGCGCGCGCACATACAGATATTTTATTATACGCAAAGATTCCACCGGCGAGGCAACCTCGGCTGTCCGTCGTGGTCTTGTGACTCAACTGCTGCTTTTCTGCGCGCGCGCGTGGATCTCATTCTGTTCGCACAACCATCGTGTATATATTCATATCAAAATGTTGCTGCGTTCGCGCTGTCGTTCGCCACGCGCGCGCGCGTTCAAATTGCCTGGCGTTGTAACGGGAGAGCCGGTATGTCATCGAAAGATCATAGCAAGAAAGCGGTTGCAAAAGCAAAGGCTAAAAACAATAGGTTGCGATTTGTCATTTTGGAAGACAGCTTGCCCCAAAACTCTTGGGGGCTTAGGGCTGGCTTGGGCTATAGGGTTTGTGACGGGGCCGAGGCTGGGGGTTTGGGCTTCAAGGTTATAGGGGTTGAGGTTTGGGGTTGAGGGATATATACAGTTTTGACTAGGGTGGTTGTTTTTTGTTGAGGGTTCAGGGACGTAGGGTTGTGGTCTCTTGGGTTACGGATGGAGACGTAGAGTTCAACGGTGGTTTGGGGTTTAGGGTCTAAAGTGGGGTAATGCCTCGGGTTGATGATTAAACCCCAAGCAACAAACCATAAACCTCAAACGCCAGACCCTAATTAAACCTTTCTTAGATGTATCAAAGAAAAAATACTCAGGGGGTCATGGTGAAGTTTTGGGGTTTTGGGACTGTGGGTGTTTAGGGTCTGCGTCTGTGGGTGGTTTGGGGTGGAGTTTGGGTTGGGGGGTTTGCGGTTTGGGATTCCTGCTTGGAGTTTTTTTTGTTGGGGGGAGGGGGATGTTTGTGTTGTTTACCCCGGGGGGTTGGCGGGGTGGCGCAGGTTTTTTTTTGGGAGGGGGCGCCTAAACAGCCCCTTGAACCCGAAACCCTAAAGTCTGAACCTAAGACCCCTGTATATATTAAGCCCTTTCATCGACATAGTCGATCCAAAACTTCAACTCCAAATACAAGTGAATAAATACATGAGCCAAAATCAAAAACTCACAATAAACACGCACACACACACACATATATATATATATAAACACATATAAACGCGAAGCCGTAAATTTTACAACAGAGGAGGCTGCGGGAGCTTGTTTGTTAGAATGAGTTTGTTGCGCTGTTTGCTTTCTCGTTTTTTGTTGGATCGTGATGGCCGATGTTAAAACATGACCGCTTTCCAAAAGAATGTGGACTCTTGGTCCCTGGTTGTTGCCGCCCCGCTTCCCCCAATATTGAAGTATTGAAGCCCTTTCAATATTGGTCTGGATCCAAGGTACGATGTCCAAAGATTTCGCAACACAATCTTGGATCCAGCCAGGACACTCCCCCCAATATTGAAGTATTGAAACCCTTTCAATATTCCAAGGTTGGGCCCAGCCTGCGCTCTGGATCCAAGATGACCTCCAAAAAAGACTGTGAAATCTTGAATCTTGGATCCAGCCCAATATTGAAATATTGAGTTTTTAAAATGTTTCAATATTGCACCCAACCTAGGCCGTGGAACCAGATTAGTAAACAACAACTAAGGAGCTGTAATTGAGTGTTCATTGAAGGACAGATTCCCACAGCGTTCCACTTCAAACAATATATTTCATATATATATGTGTGTGTGTGTGTGTTTTTATTAGATATTTGCATAAGTATGCAGGCTTTTTTGCAGAATTTAGGCTTGGATGACAACTGAAATACGATGCGTTAGCTAAGGTGCAGTGTTTAGTACAGAGTTCAGGCTTTGCTTTTTTTTTTTTGGGGGGGGGGGGGGAAATACAATGCGCTAGCTAAGGTACAGTGTCGGTACAGAGTTTTTAAATTTTGCTTCTTGGGATGATTACTGACATTAGCTAAGGTACAGTGTAGTGCAAAGTTTTGGTTTTGCCTGTTGGGGGGTGATCGCTCGAGGTACATGTATCAGTGCAGAGTTTGGTTTGGTTTGCTTGTCGGAGGATGAGAACTGAAATACAATGTGTTAGCTAAGGTACAGTGTTTAGTTCAGAGTTCAAGTGAAGCTGCTTGCTTATCAGCTTGTCAGGGGGAGGTGATGGGGGCTGATTATAGCTATTCAATATGTGTTAGTTTAGAAGAGCTTAGGTTTTGCTTATTGGGGGATGTTTATTGAAATACAGCCGGTGTTTTCACAGCTTCGAGCAAAACATCCCGAACACAAGCCGAAGAGACATAGCACAGAAGAAGAGCAAGGTGGATCAGAACATCCCAGAAAGAGCGAAAGGATATCTGCTCACCTGTGGGAAAAGTTGCTGTGTGCTGCTTCTTTGGGTTGGCCTTCTTACTCTGCTCGGAAGCCATGCCATGACTACGGTGACAATCTTTTAAAACAACTTGAGCCAGTATGCGCATGGAAAGCCTGCATGCACGGAAAGACAGCATTCATGCTGCACTTGTTGCACAGGTAATTGGCAGTGTCGGGCCCTTCCTCCCTCCCTGCATCCCTGTGTCACGAAGCAACATTTAGATTTGCTTCCTTCCATTTGCCCCACAATAGGAAGAATAAGCGTTTATATTATAGACAATAAGCGTTTATGTTGTATAAGCGTTTCTGTTAAAGCCCCTTTAAAATTTAAAAGTGTACACTTATATCAGAATAGACGTTAATTTTTAAGAGACTATTGGAAGATCAAGGTGATCTTTCGACGACATACCGGCTCTCCCGTTTCAACGCCAGGCAATTTGAATGTGCGCGCGTGGCTTAGCGAGAGCTCGAACGCAGCCGTATTGTGATATGAATGTATACACGATATGTGTGCAAACAGAATGAAATCCACGAGTGCGCGCAGGAAACGTAGCAGTTGTGTCACAAGACCGCGACGGACAGCCGAGGTTGTATGGCCGGCGGAATCTTTGCGCGCAAAAAGATATCTGTATGTGCGCGCGCAGCAAGTTTTGTTTCCTATAGTTTTTAGCCCTTGCTTTTGCCACCGCTTTCTTGCCGTAAAGATGTGCCTGTCCAACACCTGGACATTGCTTCAATCTTGCGAGGTTTCCTTTTCGAATCCGTTTGCAAAAACGACTACACGCCGGCTGATGATATCCCACGCTGTTGGGGTCTGTTGCTGCTGAGATCCGCCGACCCCAGCTTTGAGCGGGGGAGGCGCTAGTGAAGACTCCATGGCGTCGGCGTAACCCCGCACCTTAAGCTGATGCATGCCCGCCCCCTCCGCTTGCTCCGCCCGCTCCGCTCCCCCACGCCCCTTCCCTCCCACCCCCCCACCCCCCCTCCCACCCCCCCCCCCACCCCCACCCCACCCCCCGCCCACCCACCCCCCACCCCTCGGACATGCACGCCCGCCCTCTCCGCTCTTCCCGTCCGTCCGCCCTTCCCGCTATAGCAGAGTCTGGGAGACCGCTTACTGTTGGCTCGTGCGGACTGGGGGAGTAAGATGCCATATGTGCCCTATGCATACCCTTTAAGGGAGGGTTAGGGTTTGGGGTTTAGGATTTCGGGTTTAGGGTTTAGGGGTTAGGGTTTCGGGTTTAGGGCTTCTTAGGGCTTTAGAGTTAGGAGTTTAGGGGTTTAGGGTTTAAGGTTTAGGGTTTAGGCGTTTAGGGTTTAGGGTTTAGGGTTTCGAGTGGCCTTGTTCCAGTTCAAATTGAGGAGATGCTTGGCCGACAGATATTGCACAGCGGTCGCGGATGGCCTCTCAGCACACTACCGACTAAGCCCTCCTAATGCTCTTGAAACCCTGAACGCTCAACCCTAAGCCCTAGACCCTAAGCCCTAAACCCTAGGCCCTAAACCCGAAACCCTAAACCCTAAACCGTAGACCGCTCACTCTCCTCCTGCCTCTGCGAATTCGTCGAAAGATGGCCTGCCATCCTTGTTCTTGTCCGGTTTGCGCGGAGCATCAGGTTGAGGGGTCGGCGGCACTGGCGGTAGCCATTAAATCGGGCAGCGCGAGGTCCCCAAAGGACCGAGCAAATGCGGACCTTTTAGCCCGGGTCGTCCCGGGAATAGCCTTGCTGGCCTCTGGCCTTCTGCGAAGCAGAATTAGGCCGGACGCCAGTGCCGCCGACCCCCGCGTGCCGCCGGTGAACGGTTTTTTTTTCGTGGTTTTTTGCGTCGCCACGGAGGCCCCCAGAGGGCGCGCATCATGAGCATCAGCGGGTCCAGCCCGGGACCCCCAGGCGCGCATCAGGAGCATCAGCGGCTCCCGGGGCGGGACCGCGGGGGGGCATCAGGAGCATGATGCCCCCCAAAGGGCGGGCATAAGCGACGTGTCTAAGCCCGGGGCTAGGAAAAAGGGAGTTTAGGGGCCTTATAAAGTGCTTAGAAACGTTAAGGGAGTCTCGGAGCCTCAAACGCTTAGAGATTTGAAGGGAGTTTAGGGGCCTGAAAATGCTTAGAAACTTAACGCTTAGAGATTTTAAGGGAGTTTAGGGGCCTCAACATGCTTAGAAACTGCTCGCCCCGGGCTTCTGCGTGCGCTGCCCGCCCATGGGCGCAGCCCCTGAAAATAATTCTGTTAAACGGTTCATGAGAAAAGTTTATCATGTTTAGCATTCGGGCCTTCGGGGGATGCTTCAGGCAGCAGACCTTAGGAAACCCTCCACGTCCAGAGTCAGAGCAGACGCTGCCTTGAAAGACGGAGTCTGCAAACCACTGTGAAGAGTAGTAGGTCCAGGCAGTGTTGCCAGTCCTTGCAATACTGGCTGAGCTGAATGCCCTGACACGCCCCTGACACGCCCCGCAACCCAGGGCCACTCTCAGAAAAACCCTTACTCCCGCAACCTTTGTCGCCTTGGGGGCCCTCCTCACCACACATCGCCCACTGCGGCTGGGAACGATTCTAGCTGGCAGGGCATGGCTTGGCATCGGAACCGAGATCATTGCCATGGATTTGGCGGCCAGAGGCCCCCTGAGCGCAGCGATGCGCTGCCCCGCCAGCTGCGCCGCTTCTCAATTTGCATGATTCTACGCAAGCACAATGCTGCATCTGGAGCTGAATCGTCCCAGCACAACGCCGATTCGCACGCCGATTCGAGCTGAAGTGATGCCTACAACAATAACTGAACGATTGAACGAATGAATGAATGGATGAATGGATGAACGGATGGTGTGTTGGCAGCCTTGCCCTGCATCCAAGCGTGCCTCATATCCCACGTCAACACATCAACCTTCACGTAAGTATCATTGTTATGCTGTCCAACCAGACTAGATGGCGGTCTCGACATGGCCCTCTGGGTGCACCAAGGCTCCAAACAAGGCACTGCACCACGGCCAAATGGTACAGCAGGCACGGCATGCCTCTCCAAGAGTTCTAAGGAGCTGCGCGAACGTTTGCTGTGCTGTGGGTTTCGGGATGAAGTGGCTGTTGTCATGTCAATGCTTGTACCGATTCATGTTGAGCAGCCTCTTGCAAAAGAAAACGAGGTTTCTAGCCTCTCTGAGCTACCAGTTACCAGGACAGTTGCCTGGCTCTCGCAGTGGACGTCTTTTCTCTGGACTTTTTTGCGAGGCTACTGTGTATGTGCAGGCTTGACTGCTGAAGCTCACGCCTTGCACAGCACAAGCACTGTCAACTAAGTGGACCAAGGTCGATTCGGTGCAGCAGGGCCTCGAACCGATGACAGGACGCCCAATACCTGCAGAGTTGCGATGATATTCAGCATCTGGGTGCTGAGAATTTGTGAGCAAGAGTATGCGCGAGCTTTGAGGGTTGCAAGGCCAGCACAACCAGGCCTGACCTATGTATGAACGGGCTGCGTCGCGAATGACGAAATCCCATGTAGCATGTGCAGGCAGGAACCCCTTGCAAGGCATAGCGTCCCTCTGTCAGGAGAACTGTCATCCCGGCGTATCCTAAAATCATCTCAAATCTTGACATGCAGGGCTCAAGCTCCTTTAATGCACCACATTGGCCTGTGCGGTTTGCATGGTGCAGAGAACAGATGTGCTCCAGGACCCTGACCCATGACGGCGGTCGTGAAACCCCAAAACGTGCTGAAACCCGAGCTCCCCTAAGACTCAGGGCGGCACTGGAGCACAGGCGCCCTTTGCGGCATTCTCCGCACGCTTCAGGGGGACCTGCCGCAACTGTGAAGGTCAAGGCTGCTTGGAGGCCTCGCGCTTAGAAACGTGGCTCTGGGTTTGTGAAGAAATTGGGAACCCCAATAGTTGCCTTAGAATGCTTCTTAGAATGCTTCCTACTGCCGGAATCTCGAACGTGTGCAGTATTGACTGAGATATGGCCCAGCACACGATGTGGCATTGTGCCCACAAGAAGCCCTGTATGGATTGTGGACATCAAGCCGCAACCCAACCAACCCAACCAACCCAACCAAGCCAACCGACCCAACCAAGCCTGTTCTCAAAGCAAATCGCATGCACCGGCCCCGGACCTCCTTGGCCACGGCAAACTGAACGAGGATGCAGGCAGTGTTGATGGCGCAAATCAAGGCCATTAGCCTGAACATAGGCTTCGGCCGTTGTTTCTTGTTGCGGGACTGTCTGGGTCCCGGGCGAATCTGGGAATTTCAAGGCTGCGGCGAAGTGCAGGATTCAGAACTAGCATCGCGCACGAGAACAAGTAAGAAACCGGCTTGGAGAAAGAGTAGCTAGTTCAGAGCACTCTCATATCAGGGCAGTTCTTTCCGAATCAAAGTGAAGATACAAGCAAGACGTTCCGCTGAACATCGCCTGAACACCCAAAAGACAACCAAAACATCCAGTCGCTGAGTTTGGTTGTCTTTGGGGGGTGGCTCTTCTCTCCGTTGGGTGGCCAGACTAGAGGCGAAGACAAAATCCAAGCCCCCCGAGTCTTCAATTTCCTTGCCGGTTCTGGCATGGGCACTCCAGGGACACTCTGAAAATAAGCTGGGATTGGGCACTCCAGGAATTCATGTGGGGATCCTCTGGGGTTGCTGGGCACTCCAAGGACTCTATGAAAATACTCTGGGGTTGCTGGGGTTGGGCACTCTTTGGGGATGGTTGTGTTGGGCACTCCAGGGACTCTGTGGGGATACTTTGGGCTTGGGATACTGTGGGGTTGGCACTCATTGAAGTCTCTGGCACTTCTGAGGCTCTCTGCAAAATCTCTGGCACGCTGAAGATACTCTGGGGGTTGGGCACTCCAGGGGCTCTTTGGGGATAGCCTGTGGGGGCACTCCAGACTCTCTGGGGATACTCGGAGGTGGGACACGGACGGGTGAGTAGATGATCAAGTTTAGCTTAAAATCCAACAACCCACCCTCGGTGGGGAACAAATTCATTTCCTTTTCCGTGTCCCGGCCGCCCAAAGTACGAAATCCAGCCCTGATGTGTGCATTTTCACTTGGGCTGCCCGACTGCCAAAAAACAAAAGCACAAAGCAGCTCTTGACTTGTCTGTGTTCTTTTTTACATGGCCCGACCGCCCAAAAGGGAAACGACATATCCAGACTCTTCTCGCTAGGGCGGCTCGGAGAAGAAGATGAGCTGCCCAATGCTCTTCCATCTCGATCCCTACTAAAACACACCCCAAGCGGCCCAAGCGCAGAATAAGAAATCGATGGGTGCAAGCTTTCATCCTGAAATCAGACTGCCCTGCTCCTCTTTAAAAGGCGTTGATTGTCCAACCCTCTCACCGTACTAGTGCCGCCAGTCCGAAGCCTGAGGTGAGTGGAGTGACTGGTGTGTTAACTTCAGCAGGTGGCTGCAGCATGTGCTCCACGGGCACTTTGTAGATCTGCATGATCCTCGGAGTAGGGGTCAATTGTCAGAGCCCACGACATGAAATAAATCCCTTTACGGAATCACACGGAGGGACGCGCATTCAGCGAGCTGCCGAGTTGCCCAAGTTGCCCGAACCGAAACCACACTCAGACTCACTTTCACTTCACTTCATTACGAAAGCTCACCCTGGTTTGAATGTTTTTATTGGAAGCTCCCCCCCCAACCTGAAAGAAACCCGGAGCCCAGCAGCACGAAGCCCTGAATCCTTGGGTCTTCTAGACCCGAGACCTGAAGCTCTCAATTTCTCTGAGAAGTCAAGCTCCCTCCTTTCGACCCCCCCTTTCGGGCCATCCTTCTCCTAAACTCCTCTGGAGGGCATGATGCCCTCATGATGCCCTCAGCCCTCATGATGCTCTCCACAGGTCTCGCAACCGAAGGCAGCAGGAAACGCCAAGGGTCGAATAGCCCAGGAAGTTCCCAATCGCCATGATCACCACGAAGACCACCTGGGAGGGAGCGAGTGTTTAGGTCGAAGGCCGAGGGACACTTGAATCTAAGATAGGCCCGAACCTAAAGACCCGAGCCCGCCCAAGCAGTCCTGCATCAAACCCTCCAGACACAGGGGGCCTGCATGGGCACCTGCTGCTCCACGGAGGCCAAGTCAGCGACTAACGCCCGGTGTGGTGTCTGAAGGATGTTGATTGTCACCTGAGCAAGTTGAGCTACAACGCGATGCCTCCGAATGCGAGCCCTAGCACTCGGCATCGAAAACAGTCTGCACCTTCAGGGTAACCCTGCGGGTGCCTAGACCTGATGGCACTTTGTGAATGAATGTATTATGCTATTAAATTCGCACCAGGGCTTGTTGATTGCACAAGGTGCGGGCAAGGCGCATCCATCACCCAATACATGGGCACCGCAAATCCGATCCTGAGTCGTTTGTCGCGGTCATGGTACCCACGCAATGCATCATTCATGTGCAGGCTGACCAGAGGCCAGCGTGGTCAAGCCTAATGTGTGGCTCGTCTTGACTCGACCAGAATCTCTGAGGCTGCATGACAACATTGAGAGAACTTGTGCAAGCACACAGGACTCAAGCAGCCTCTCAAGCTTCACGGCGTATGGCTGCAGGTCTGAAGCATCAGCTCTCACATGAAGTTCTACATAATGAGATGAAGCTTGACTCGTTTGAATAGGAATGGATAGGTAAGCGGGTCACACACACACACAGCACACGACACAATACCCGACCTGACAGGAGAGATAGGCACTAGCCAGGATCCCAACACAAACAACAAAAGCCACAGATGCCTGACGAGAATCTTGGCAGTTGTGTCAGCAAAGAGATGCTCACTGGCGGAGAACCTTGATTTAGTCAAGCACGCTCCCTTCACAGGGACAACTTTAATTGCAACATTCTTTGTCGACGGAGCACATGTCGACTACTGCTTGTACGCCACTCAGGTAAGCCAAGCATGCAGACAGTAGTTCTTATTGCATCTCCAATCAAAAAATGAGGATCTGGGCTCCTCATTCCAGAGCAACTTGCAAGGTTGATTCCTGTCACATGAACGCCTGTGGAAGGTGAGGCAGACCCCACGCCGAATCGAAGACCAGGGCTGCTGCTCACATATATGGGGTCAGAGGGGTTCACAACTCTACTTCTCGGCCGGCCCGGGAAAGTCGAGTCGGGAGCATCTTCAACTAGCAGAAGCCTTTGGGGGCCCATGTCCCCAATAACTCTGTGTTTTAAGGTGTCCGGTGACACTACTCGAGGGTGAGAATTATACAGCTCAGCAGGCTCTGAACCCAACTTTTTGGTGCAGAGAGTCAAAAGCGCTTAAGAGCTGAACTGCTAAGGAGTGTGTTCCTCAGAGCTTTCCTTCGGTCTGCAAAGCTCAGACAGCCCCTTTCCTCGTTTGAGATTGCTGTAGCTCCAAGGGCCTTCAGACAGCCCAGGTCTCCATGGCCCGGGTTTTCTGGAAGCTGCCAGAGATCTAGAACCTTGTCCACCGAAGCTCGAAATACCTTTAATAACAAATCCGGAAAGGGCACCTGCCCATCACTCATCCCCAGAGATGACTGAGATTACAAGAAGACATGCAGGCTTAAGATGCCTCTGGGCTGAAGAACTTCCTGAAGCTTCAGGTCTGGTGGCAAGGAAACACCCAAAAGAGTGACTTCATATGCATCCGCGATTGCTCACATCTGACAGGAAGCAGCATTCCCGCGATCCATGTAGAAATCAGTCCTCCCAGGGCTCGACTTTCCATGTGGCTCTGGGTACTCTCCACTTGACTTTCTCTTCAAACACTCTAATCGTTCAGAAATCGAAGGATGATGGCTCGAAGCTCCTCCGAGGATAATTGGGCGCCGGCGCCCCCACTTGGAGGTCAGACGGTCGGACCTGCTGGAAATTCGCGGGAGCGTTCTGCGGTGTGTTGGAAAAGTCTGTGTATATGACCGGGCAACAACGCAAAAACAGGGCGGCATTGTGCAAACCCTCCAAGCGAGGAGTCTTTCCGAACAAGGGGCCATCATGGATCATGGATCGATTCAAGAAGCCTTTGTGATCACTCTGAGGCCGATGCCATGCACCAATGATCGGCCCTGTGAAGAAGCCTTGTGTCTCCGTCCAGGTTTCGATGATTCCGGGAGAAGACTTGTAGCTATGAGCAATTTGGATGTCCTTTCGATCTTCACAGCGGAGTCACTGTCATACGCAGAATGCCCATGACATGCTGCACATGCTGAGGCAACCGTGTCAACCTGCCCAGGCATGCCAAAAGGCCAGTGATGGGACCGGCCACATTGTTTAAAGTCCTAAGTTTGGAATGTTTGAAGTGCGGCAATTAGGGCCCGCAGCAGCAACGGATTTTCAGTATGCTACACTTGCTCTCTGCAATCCGTAGAGCCCCGAAGCCCAAGCCGCTGACACCCCGCAGCTGGCAGCCCAGGTTCGCCAAGGAGGGGCTTACACCCAAGTGGTTCATGTATGGAGCTGCCTCAGCTCAGACAAGGCGCGTGAAAACCCATCACTGCCCTGCGGCTTCGTGTTCAGATATCACTTCAATGGCTGAAACGGATATAAACAGAACACAAGCGTGGCCCAAAGCTAAAACGGCTTAAGCCCCGGCAGTTCAGCATGCAGAGAACCGACAGCAGCCCACTGCAGCATTCAGTTCAGCTCAGGTGCATTTGGCCCAATGAAGCACCACATTACCTCCAGGGGGAGTGGGGTGGGCAGCTGAGGAAGGGAGGCCTCACTACCGTGTGACAGTGGCGTGAGCAAGTGTATACGAGCGGAAGACAAGTGTAGTATCATCCCAAGCGTCCACACTTTTTCTGACTGAGAGGACCTACCAGAACCCGTGCTGAGACAAGATGACACTGAATCATCTGGTCAATTATATTGGTCCGACCGGTGCAAAGCTTTCAAACTAAGGCAATGGTTGTTGGGGGGGGGGGCACAGCAGTTGCATCCACTTTGTGACATCCAGTGTCCAAGTCGACTCCGTTCAGCCTGCAACCGCCTTGAGTTACGAAGCGCACCTGCACACCGAGCTGTGGCAATGCCACCAGGGTCAGCTTCCACAATGGATAGAACTCCTTGTCCTTGCAAGATCCACTGCTTCAGCAAAAACAATTCGATGGCTCTTTGGAGCTTAAGTGAGGTCTTCACAGGTTGGGATGGGCTGCAGCTGGGCACCCCCATGTACCAGGGCCCGAAAGGAACAGTTAACCCCAAGACGTTGCAGACATGTGACTCCGCTGTCGCCGCTCTCCGCCCCAGCCTACAGGAGACTTGAGAAGTCTCGCGATGCAAATGCAAACCTTACGTTTTTTTGTTTGACCAGGCCATGTGTTTGGCATACACGTGGAAACTGCAGCTGTGCCACCTGCGCCCGCTTCTCCTAGGCCGGGCTTGGGGTTTAGGGGGTTCAAGGCTCATGCCACGAGAGGTAGCAAAAGAGGACTTTTCAAGACTTCGCCGAGCCTATCACTGTTGGAGAGGCTTGTCCAGGAACATCCATGACATGTCGGTTATCCATTCAGTACTGCATCACGAGGCGCCGGATGTGAAAACCCGACGAACGTTTTCTAGTCCAACAGGGGAGGTGGGGGTGCACACGGCTGATGGAAGGTTCGGAGCCCAAGAATCGGCATGGACTTTTCCCGGGCTCAGCGCTGACTCCTTCAAGAGGGCAAGGGCCGCAGCAAAAATTCAGTCCTTAATTTCTGTATGATTCACGGGATTTTGGGTTCTGTGGTGTGCACTATCGGCATGACGCGGGATCGGGACCGCAAGCCCATCTTAAAGTCCTCGTCCACGCCGATCTCATCGGGCACGATCGCCTGGGATGTGTGGATGTTGAGGGACACTTTAAGACTTAAGAGGCTTCTGCACACGGCCCCTGGTATGGACTTGCCCTCTGGTCGCAAGATCATCGCAGACCCCGTGCTCTGCCCAGGAGGCCATGGCTACAATAAAGGCTACTAGTAGCAGTTCGGCATGGTCCTTTTCGACCGTGGAAAAATCATCAGCTCCTGCTTGGGAGGCTTGTGAGGCCCTGCCTCTGAAGCCCAGCCCCTTCAACATCTTTCAGCCTTGTCAATGTCAGCCAATCCAAGCAAACTCAACTGTTCTCGGAAGCCAGGGTGCGGTGATGTCGTCGGCCGCCCGATTCCCGTATTGGGCTGGCATGGTGGAGTAAGCCGAACTCAGCTAAGGCGCAGAGCTTTACCAAAAGATCCCAAAAGGTCTGCGGTCACAAACGTCCGGATGGCGAAGTGCACCGCCAAGCCCTTTCCAGAACGCAAGTTCCCGAGTCATGCTCCCGCCTTCGTCTGAGTTGGTTGAAACCTCAAACGCTAACCACCCAAACCCCCCCCCCCCCCGGCCAAAAAAAAACAAAAACAAATCCGGGGATCCATTCCATTCCCCAACTTACCCACGACCCTTTGCAGCCTTCCCTCTTCTTGTTCTCCTTGAGAAACTCGTCCCTGGCGCACGAGACACAGCTCTCACCTTCCCATACCGCAACATCTGCAATCGCCTCAGTGCGCCCGGAAGCTTCCCACTTCCCCCTGGTTGCCTATCTAGAACTGCGCACGGTGCATGTTGCACAGCACGGGGCATTGAGGTAGAGTCTAAGCTAACAAGCTTTCACCCCAACGAGTCAAGAAGAAACATCGGCTGGCGTGACCCCACTTTCTTGTAGTGCGCGGCGTCCTGTGAAAGGTTTCGAGTCCGACTGACCGGTGTACGAACAAGAATGTTAGAACAACACTGTCTGGCTCAGGTTTCTCGGAAATTCTTACCAGTCCCACCAATCCTGAAAATCCGTCATTTCAATCACAATCTGAAAGCCTGACAGCCGAGAGTGATCTGAAGGTCCGAAGGTCATTCGCACACGAATGGGGGCCCAGCAACTCGCCCGATGGACAGGGGAGGAGGGGGACAGAGACAGAGAGAGAGAGAGTGAGTCGCTACCAGTAGTAAAGTGTTCAAGACACAGCTCCAAACCTTAACATTCCGCCAGCCATCGTAAAACCCAGTCAGCCAGTCTCCCTTCCCTTGCGTGCAGTCCTCTGCCGCCACCCACCGCAGTAGGACGCCAAGCCTCGTTCCCCCGCTCTCTAGGACTTAAGCCTGGAGTTGAAGATTGCAAGTGTTGGGCTTGGAGGTCGATACAGGACGAAGCTTAACAACCCCTCCTACATTCCCGTTGCCAGGCTCCATATCTCTCTGAGATCCCGGCAGAAGACATCTGGCGAACGACCTCCCGACGGAGGCTTTTTTTAATGCGAAATGGCTTTTGGTGAAGAGCTGGGGCTTGCAGGACATTCATCCCTGGCACAAGGAACATACCATATACCGACATACTTTAGTGCTTTAGGCAATGCCGTCAGAACCCGTGGGTAAATACTCAAGGCTGATGGCGTGACCGTCCGGCATGACATTGGGAACTCTGAATAGGGTCGGAGCCCGTGAGAGTTGGCAAGCAAACAAGACGCCGCCTCATCGCACCCTTTTCGCCAAGGGCGGAGGTGACAAAATTGTCTGGAGCTGAGCCCCAATCCGAAGGGCGGGCGAGATTTTGCAGCTCTTTGTGGGACTTCCGGCTAGCACAGCAGCAACACTCCAGACCAACACCAACATGATCCTGCATGAAACGCAGGAGCCGATCAGAGCCCCAAGCGAAAGTAGAGAGAGCACAACAGCCACAACTTACGAGTATTGCAGGCAGTGGTGACCTATACCCATATACCCAGTGAGATGACGAAGCGCACCGACTTTTCTCTGCAGCTTAGGAATCGATCTCGGCAGCAGTTCGTACTGCAGCTGGCGCCTGCAAACGGGTGGTTCACGGTGTTCCTTGTGTGGCGTTCCAACTCAACTAGATCATCTGCTCGGGATTGTCTTTGACAGTCACGGATCTGGCATATATTGATTTGATAGATAATCAGGTTCCGCAAACTGTCTCCATTCTAAACCCTGCTGCGTTCGCAGGCCTCTCACCCAAACCCGGGAACTCGGTTCGGATTCAAGTTTGCATTCTCTCAACCTCCTTTTGCCGCAACTTTTGGCCCCGCAGCCCCATGAGCCCTTGAACCATACATTAAGACGCTGCAACTGGTAACTGTTACGCCTCTGCCCCGGCTGCGGCCACAGCCTCAGGCACGATTCTTAGATGTTGTGCTGCCAGGGCTGTGATTGAGCCCGCATAAGCAAGCGCTCGCAGTGCAGTTCAGGGTTCTCGGCTTCGGGGTGCAGACCTCAGAGCTTAGGCGTGACACGAGGATTGGCTCCTTTTGAAGCCGGTTCTTAAGATAGTTGTTTGCAGGAATGCTCCGGGGGCGCTTGTGAGCAGGACTGTGCTCCGCCACCCATGGACCCTGAGGATCGATGATGGGCTCGCGCATTGAGACTTAACCACACCGAAGGCGCAAGTTCTGTAAACCAAAAAAGGGGCCCCAAAATCAGGGGCCTCTGATATGACACCTGAAAGCCAATGAAAGCCCTATAAGCCTTTCGTGCTACTCTGCCCGCAGAGCGGCCCATGAGGCTGGATCCGGTGGAAGCAGCAGCCTCAAACATCAAGAGGGAATGAAGCAAAATGGTCCAGGCTGTTGGCTTAAGGATGTTTATGGCGTATTTAATGGAGACACATGGGAGCATGCGCAGGACCACATGGTGCGGGCAGCTGTTCTGGACAGTTGACCATTCTTCCAGTTGATGCTCAGCGTCAAAACCCAGCGAGGACATCCCCCGTAATCAACCACAGAAATCGAGGAATCTAGAAATTGAGGTCCGTAGCAAACTTTGCCGTGTCCCGTCCCAAAGGTCACGACGCGCGCATGACGAAGCCGTACCTCGTCAGGTCAATGCAAGCAATGCAAGAGGGCACAACTTCTGGCCGTCTAGCTGGAAACGACTCACAGGCCGGGCTTTCCAACTGAGTGCCTGCAGTGCTCTCTCGATCATTCACACGCATCGACCCCCCACCAAGAAGCACAGAAGAAGTCGCAATACTGTTATTTCCACATAAGATTCCTCACCAGATTCCCCTGAAGATCTGCCTCTGCTGCGCTTTGGCCGCTTCAAAGGCATCTGCAACCGAGATCTCGGAACCAGGGGCTTGGAATGAGGTTTCTTCTCTGTCTTTTTTGCCTACTTCAGTCTTCTCTCTTGCAAGCGGCCCGATTCTGAGGAGCCTTGAAGCTTTACTTAGTCACGGGGGTCACTCGGTCACTCCCCCTTACAGACTGAGCTACATCAGGGAGGGCTCAGGACGAGCAGGATCTGGTGAAGCCGCGTTTTGGACCAGGACATGTTGCGTCCCTAAACCTTTAACTCGGAACTGGCATATCTGGGAACCAACTGTAGTGAGAGTGTTTCTGCAGAGCCTGAGAAGCACCGGTCACTACCAATGTCCGGTACTCCCAGTCAAGCAGCACGTGCACAGAAGCTAAAGCCCGGGCGACAAGCTCATCACTATCGGAAGAGTCACCTGCGTCACGAGTTCTGGGCTCAGGTTTTGATTTTGGCATGCATTCAATTTGCGACGGCGAATCATGATGCGTGGGTTCAAACATCTTGGACAGCCGCAATCTCCAGGATCAAATGCTGAGCCTTCCTCCTCAAGTTCCGCATCGCCCGCCCTGGCCCGCAGCAAAGTTGTGCTGTGGAGTGTTTCGGGCTTGGTGGCTTAACCCATGTGCACATGTTGTCACCATGATTTAGAACATCCAACAGCTCATGCTTAGCACACCGAACCTCGCTCATCTGGACATACCTAAACAAACGCCCTCCACTGTCAAGCTCGACGGACTGTTTTTGGGATTCAGCAAGGCGATTGAGCCCTCGATCAATTTATCGAAAGGAGCATGATCTGGCGTCACGTTGAAAAAAGTTAGGGCCTGGCAGGGCTGGCAGTTGTTCCAAAGGTACTCGGGTCTGGGCTGCGCTACCCCCATCTCGAGCCCTCCCAAACATCCCAAACAGTCGCCCGACCTGGCGGTAAGCAGCCCGCCCGTCGCAAAGGCACGCAGCCAACCCTCAGAAGCCTCTGCGCAGGTGGGACAATTGGAGTTTTCAGGCATTCAAGCACGGCCTCTTATATATTGCGCATGTCTGAACAGCCTGATGTATGTGTTTTCCGGAGCTCTGGGAGCCGAAGAGATTTGCCCAATGCTGGTCGTGGTTTGAATCACGATTGGGGGGGTGCCCTCATGAGCAAACAGTAGGATGAAGCAAAGCATCTTAGTCTCGATTCAGATTCAGTCTAGATCAACAATCTCAGAATCTGCACCGCAATACGCCGCACGAGCTCTCAAATCTCCTTGGAGCCTTCGGACTTGGGGTTGGGCTGCTGCAGTAGAGAGTTCCCGCGTGTTGGATATGGAATAACACGTCCAGGACCGAGAGGTTAGAACGGGTTGCTGCGACCAGAACTGGGGAAGAAGGCTGATGAAAGACCCTTCATCCTATGTGGGGTTTGATTGCGGAATTTCTCTTTCCTGTACGCGAATGTCCGAATGTTTGTGACGTTTTTCGCAGGACATGTTTACGACATAGTACCTCAATCTGGTGCGGTTTATGCTTGGGGTTGGCTTAGGATTCAGGCGGCTAAGGTTCGAGGGTTTGTAGAGGTCGGGGGTTGGGTTGGCTTAGGGTTGGGGTTGGGGGCTGGTAAGGGTTGGAGTCTAGAGCTTGGGTTTGAGATATGGGCCACGGGCATGTGATGAGATGCAGTCGTTTAAAATGAAAAGATTGCACATGCAGACGAAACAGGGGCCTTTGGATCGACTCTCCCAAGTACGAGATTTCCGCAGAGTGCAGAATCCAATGCTGACCCCTGAAAGCCCGAAGCCGCAGGCAGGATCTCAGAGAAGACATCGACTGAGTCTACCGAGTCCACTGAGCTTTACGAAAGACCGTGAGCTGTGTGCGGCTCCCCCCTTTTCTCGGGCCTTGCTCTCGGCATTCCGAAGCACGTTTTCGTCGTCAACAAGGACCTTGTGCGACATCAGCAAATGTTTGATGCGATTTGATGCGATTTGTGTAATGCTATCCATGCAGAGCGCCGGGTCACAGGCCAAAGGCATCCATTCATGGTCCCACCTGAAGCCAAGAGGCAGGACAATCTGACCACGGCAAGGCACGGAGCTGCTTTGAGTGCATAGGACCCGTGCAAGTGATGGCAAGACACACCCGTCTTTTTGGGATGGCCTGCCTTTGCAATCCATCTTAATCCCGAGCTAACGGTTCCTGACACCTTCGGACACCCCCAGTTCTGCGCAAAAAAAAGGGGCCTCTTTGCAGCTTTCGGATCGGCTTTGGGGGGGTCTGGCCCCAAAGGTAGGGGAGGCACAGGCTTAAACATGCAGTCGAGGCGCTGTGCGACCTCTTGCTGCTCCAAGCCTCCCGCTGCCGCAAACTCGTGTGGGCAGGGCTTCCAGGTTTTTGGGCGGCTTGTTTCCTTCCACGGCTCTTTTGCCAATGGCACTTAGCCTGGCTCCCAAGCTGCGCTGTATCTTTGAGGGTCAAGGGTGAAGAGTAGATGCTTGAGTCTTGGACGGGTATGGTATCTGCAAACGCTGCACGTGCGCAGCAGCTCCGCCTCGCACCCGCAATACCGCGGCGGAGAGACCGTCAGTGTTCGCAGTAGCAGAGCAGCAACAAACAGTCCATGAATTCAGTCGTCGCTCCCTACGGTACAACAACAGACCCGCAAGCTGGCTTGGCAGCTTTCGGCCTGCCTGAGCTGCTAACAATGCCGTCGATCCGGCCCTGGCAGCGATTGACGTTCTTGAGGCTAGACCATCACACTACCATCACCCAAGGTTGCACCCATCTCGCAAGCTGAACGGTGCAGACCAAGATGAGCCAAATGCCCGGGCATGCTGACAAATCACTTCAGTCCGGAAAACTGTCCGCTGGTGCCTCTTTGTACAAAGAGAGGCCGATCTTGTCGACCACGGCCCGGATGCGCCAAAAGAGCTGCAACACCTGCAGTACCCGGCAAGCAGCGCAAAGGTGGAGCAAGAACAAGTGGTACGGGTGCACATGATGTGACTAACGCTTTTGCTCCTCCTCCCACTTTCCAATCGCGATGCCGACTGAAAATGCAGTCTGCAGAATTCCCCTTGATGTTGAAAGGTGCAGCTTGTGTTGGCTAAAGTAGAAAGCAGACTCAGCCCTCAACTACAACCGCGCAAACACCCCGAGTCAACGTCGGTGGTCAAGCCTAGGTGCCAAGCACGACGTACCGTTAAGTTCTCGTCCATTATCTTACAGCCTTCCGTCGGTAATTCCTCATGACAGGATAGAAAGGCCTAGAACAAAAGCTCCTATAGCTAATTCCTGCATAAAACCCTAGAATGACCATGTTGAGGGAGAAGCATTTTCCCGAGCGCAGAGAAAAGCATTCGCGAAACACTCCGGGTGTTCGGTCGGCATGCGTATCCAGGTATTGCATCTTGACAGCCAGCCAGGCTGCTAATAAGCTGCTGCATGATGTGGACTTCTAAGAAAGGGTTACAATCTGCAGTCCATACGATGGGAAGCAAGTGCCGAGGATTCAAAGGCTGGGTGGTTGACACTGAGCATGCTGAACTTCGCTAGCACATGATGAGCATCTGTTTCGGAGATGCATGCCAACCGGAAAAGGAGAAAACTGCTTGTTGCGTCAACAGGAACAATAGTTGCTCTGGACAACCCGCGGTACTTGTCGAATGTCAAACTCTTCGATGCAAGTGCTCTAATGGCTCGACCCGAAGAACAACAGACAGCACAACTAGACCTCCGAATTGCAAAGATGACTTGACTCGTGAGCCCGGATGCGAATCTTGCGCGGCATTTTTGAAAGGCAAGTACTGGGAATACTCGTATAGACTTTACTGCTCTTACCATTCAAGTTCCCATTGACGCCGAAAGCGAAGACCATTCAAACTGCATGCTTGCTAGGGGCGGGCCCCCTTCCTATATACAGTCTAGCCTTTAGATGGGCCTTGGACGCTTAATCTTGCATCACGTTTCTGAAGTATACCTGATCAGGCAAAGCCGATCTCCAGTATTGATTTATTTCACCTGGCTCAGTTCAGCGATTTCCCTTATCTTATGCATCTCCCATGACTTTTGCTTGTCTGCGTTATGCCAAGTCTGCACGTACACCGAATGTGCCAATTGTCTCGGACTTGTGCCAAAGCTCACTAGTGCCTCACTTGCCTTTCTCAAGGTACTTCTCCTCAGCAGGCTGCATTGCAAGCATCCCAGCAGCATTGCGCAAGTTCAGCCCATTCAGATCCTTTGACTCCCTGGAAAGCATGCAGCCGGGGTACCACCTGGTTGCAAAGCTCATAGAAGCGGGGCCTCCTCTTGTTGGGGAAGGGGAACTTTGGTCCTTGGCTTGAAGCACATGGCAGGTCACATAAAAGGTGTTGTTGGGAGTGCCCGGTTTAGAGCTTAGAGCAGAGCGTTATGGAGAGACATTCTCGTCTCTTTGAGTGACAGTGAAACTCAGACTACGCGCTGCAGAAGTGCCCTTGTTTTGGAGACATTTGATCCGTGCCTTTCTGGCAAACCCAACTTGAGAATGCCCAACGCAATGCTGCATTGCATGCAGGGGCAACCACTCATGCAATGGAAAGCTGGCTTGGAAACAAACTGCAAATGTTGGTCGAGTCGCCATAGGAGGTGAAGTGACTCGCTAGTGTGTTGATCGCAGAGTACAGGGAGTAGTAGCTTTGCCTCAAAAGCTCGCATGACTATCCAAGAGCGAGGAATCCCAACGCCCCCACAAGCACATAGCAGTTGCAGGGCCTTCCAACGGATAGATTCTGGCGGCGATACAACGCCAGCCAGTCATTCATCTCTTTCTTGATCCGGCTGTTCCACTTCTCCTGGGCTTCACAAAGGTTGGGTCCCCTCCGGGCCATGCTGAGGCCAAGCCCCACATCAACTTGTCAACCCTCCCGAGCAGCACGAGCCCTCCAGTTGCCGGGTGAGCTGCCATGTTTGGGGTGCCTTTGTCAAGCGAAGCCGAAATTTTCATGTGCTTCATGACCTCCCGGCTCGTTTTGGCGCGTCTGGAGGTCGTGTGTTTTGCCAGACTGTCGTGGTTGCAGGGGACCAAAGATGGGATTAGGAAACAGGCCCAGCGCCAGCCTCCATACAGAAGCGCCGCAGCCGCTACAGCACGTCCTACTATTCCTTTCGCAGACCCCACAGACTATCACATGCAAGACGGAGCCTGGTAAGTGTCCTGGCGGTACTTCGACTTCATGTAAAAGGTCTTGTAATCCTCGCGCTTGAATGTGCATCAATGCGCATGCCTTGTGTCGACTTCGAATTCAACTCCCTGGAGTGCTTGCCAGTCTACGAGGTATCCAAGAAGTTTGGGAGGTTCCAAGGCTTGACTAAGGGGAAAACACATCAGGATGGCCGAAGAGCAGGATGGCCGGGGAACTTCGACGAAGACTCGGGATACCAACGGGCCGAGACGAAGTTCGACGAAGGGAGAGGGGGTTCGACGAAGGCCGATACAAAGGCCAAGACAAAGCCCGAAAAAAAACGCGAGGGTTCGACGAAGGCTAAATCAACGCCGGAGGTTCGACGAAGGCCACAAGGGCCGGGAGGGGGGTTCGACGAAGGCCAAGGCTTTCGACGAAGGCTATGGGGGTTCGACGGCCTTTGCCGAAGGCCGTGTGCCATCCGCCCCCATACGCCGTCCTGATCGGTTTGCCCCTGATTGACGAGCAAGTATACTGGCCCAAAGTCAATAGCTTGCCAATGTCACCTGCAACCCCCCCACCCCCCACTCTTCCGTTCGTTCAAACAGAGGTTCATTACTTATATGCTTTAGGAATAGACTCAAGCACACATACGTGCATGCACACATACATATGTATACACACATCTTGTAATACAATGTCAAGCACACATCTTGTAATACAATGTCATGTAAGTCTGCGCACAGAGCCTCCTCTCCCGGTCTACTCCTCGCCCATCTCCCGAATCCCCAACCAGTATTTTCAGAGAATCCCTGGAGGGCTCAACCCCAGAGTATGCCCAGAGCATCCCTGGCAACCCTGGAGTATCCCCACAGTAGGACGGCCCACGAATTCCAAATCGGTAGGGTAGGGATGTTCGGCGTAGACTGATGTGTTTTTTTTGCCGTTGATCCAGATTGGGCTGTGAAGCAGTGTCAAAATGCCGTTTGGGCTATCTTTCGTGTCGGTAGGAGAGTTCTCTTGTAAGGCGTCCTCCTTCTTGTCCCCGGGATTGTCCATGCCGATAAGCCTTGCATCAAGTGCAGATCCACAACCACCACGACACCGACGGTAACAGCCAGCACGAGAACGGCATTCTGATATTGCACATAAAATGTTCGCACTATATACCAGAATTGTCCTGATGACGGTTCGTAATGACTAGAAGAATGATAGCAGCAGTCGCGCCCCGGGTGAAGGTGTCTCAAGAGCCAAGCGGCTCATAGGGGTCTGAGTTGATTCGGTCTGGAATATCGACCTCGGGGCGCGCTGAGAGCAGTCTGCAGTCACTTTTCCAGGGCTCCAAAAAAGTTCTGGGGAATCCTTGTTGCATGCTTCTCTACTAGGGATCCCAATCATGATACAGCAGTTTGCCCAGTAAGGATCCAGTAAGGTGGTGATGGCAGTGTTGACCTGGGGATCAACTACTGGAAAGAGCGCATTGCGAGATCTTCTGAAGTCGGTGCCCATCGTACTGCGGCCTTCAACCAGACATGGCGGAACCAAGGCATCCTGAAAAGCCGATGCGGGCAATGCGTGCTGCTAAAAGCGCCCAAAGAAGCTTTATTCACTGACCCCAACGTCCAACTGAAGCCTCTGCCCCTTGAATCTCGAACCCTACTAGGACCTAACTAGGAAGCAGGAACCCGCGCTCCAAGCCCAAAACCCTCAGCATCTCCCCAAAAAATGTCCCTGCAGGGTATTCAGGTGCAATGATCCCTGGGCTGCTGGCTGGCTTCACAGGCTTGGACTCTATGTTGGCGGCCTGCGCATAGGCAGCCTCGCCTCAGTCCCGGGCTAAAATATGTTGGCGGAGCACGGGTGTTGCGGGGCGATGTGGTGAAAGGGTTTTAGCTCCCCTTAACCTGCTTCCTTGCTCTTCGCCCACATGTGCCCACATGTGCCAGCCAGTGGCTTCCCGTCAGCGCCGTGGCCACCGCGCTGAACACGGGAAGCGCAAGGCCTCGTCTCGAAATATCCTGGCGTCAGCGTGCGCAAGGAGGCCATGGGCCGCATGGGCGAGGCCATGGGGCCGCATGGACTGAGGAAGTCTTTCGGTCTGAAGGGTTCTTCGGACCTTGCCCTTACAGGACTACAGGACAAACGTCATGTCAACTCTCCAAACCAGGTTGCCCGCCTGCGGCGGCTGCACAAAGCTCACCTGCAACAACGTCTTCGAACAGAACATGGTGGTACTATGGTGGTCGTAAGGCGTCGTGCGGCCCCATCAAGGGGATCGAGCAAGTCTCACATTGCAAATCCTCGCTTAGCTATGATTCCCGAAACGAAGGACTTGGGCATTTTCTACACTCCGCTCGCCCATTGCGGCTTGCACTTAATCGACTTGCAGCTGGGCACGACGCCATCCATACAACACTAAACTGACGACTTTGGTTGGTGGACAACTCGAAATACTGCAAGTAATGCAAAAAATCAGATACAAAGCAAATTCAGTTGACAGTACGCCGCATAAAACTTCAATTCCCTACAGTAGTTGTAATAACCCCCCTTGAGCCCACAAGCAGCCGGCGTGCCGTGCTGCGCAGCAGCGCGGCGAGCAGTGCCAGCGCCGCGAGGCGAAGGCAGCGGCGGCCTCTCGGCCAGGGTTGTTGGTGGGCTCTCTTGCAGAGATTGAGACGCTTTTCTGACCTAGGTAGCTATACTGCACATGCACGAACGCAGCCACACGGAAAGACAACCACCCAGACCGACACTACAATAAACATGAACGTCAACGTTGACAGCAACATAACCTGACATGCAATTTGCAGTATAAGCGCCAGCCGACACATTGTCGTGGCCTCCCCCAGCCATGGCTGCAGATATCGCAGACAGGTAGGCACCGGAGTCGAAAACTCGTCTTGAGAGCGAACGCCGCGGGTGCAAGTCAGGCACAGTTACGCATGCAAGTGTTGCACAAGAAGCGTAAAGTCGGCGAGGGATTCTTTAGAGCTTATGAATGGCTTTGCAACAGGTACCCAAAAAGAACGTGGCGATCAGTTCAAGCAAATCTAGAACACAACATTCCATGATAGCCCTGCTGTCCGAAAGGAAATTCCTTACAACAGTCGGGCAGGACCAGGGCCAACCCTGAGGCTAGCGCCAGTCGTTGCGGTTCAGCCTCATGTGGACCGGGTCCAGAAAGACAATGCGAGACATATCAATTGCCAGGCCCAACGGCCCAACCCCTGTAAACAATTTTACACATGTTCTTTACAAGTCCGACAATCCGACAGGGTGGCACTGTTGAAAGGCCGGAGTGGTGCTCAATTGTTTGCAAGGGGGGGTGTCATGCACCGGTGCTTCTGCAGAAGTTGTAGCCAGGAAGACGTCAGCTTAGGGGGTTTAGGGTTCAGGGCAGAGGCCCCACACAATAACCCCTCAAGATGCTGCACTTCACATGAGCAATATAGAGAAAATCTACGAGTACTTCCTGAGCAGAACGCAAGGCCCTCGGCTTCTCCGCGGAGGTCCAACCACAGCTCATGCCTTATCTGTTGTTGAGGGGAGAGCAGAAGCAGTGCCTCGATAATGTAGAAGCCCCGAGCTTCAAGTCTGAAAAGGAGGCGAAGGTATGCGGAGCTAAGATGCTCAACCACGATAACTGACAAATTGAGATAACCCACCAGCATCTCTTTATAAAAGCCTCCAATGCGAATCCGCTAAAGGGCAGACCGCTCTCACCTCTATTTTCTTAGACACTTAATAGACCAGTGGTCCGCTTCTTTAACGAGGTGCATGTCCGAGTCCATGAAAAATCCCCAACTAAGCACTTTCTGCAAAAACAGCCGAAACAGCCTCCCCAACGTGGGAATTTTAGCACGCTCGCTACTTCTCGAGGAGTTACGGGTTTGAGGTGTCGATGTCTGGGATTTTGAGTTCTGGAGCTTGAACGGAGCCATCTCCTGGGGGGCGAACGTTTGACCGGAGCTCATCGTGTGATGCCCGCGGCCTAGCCATGCGTCTGCAATCTTCAGAGAATTACATGCAAAATTGAGTGCCATCCAACTTCACTACTACTTCTAATTGCCCCGAAGTATCCATGCACCTAAGATCTCTGGAGATCCTCCCCAGCCTCGGGCCATGTTGGACATAAAGCCCGCAAGGCTCGACATCCCACGTGCTCGAGCCTGGCCCGTTCAGCGGTCTCTATTGATAGCTCACTCATTACACCAATCTACCGCATGTCTTCCCCTGGATCCGGCAGGAACGAAAATGCACGAATCCACGTGATCCATCAACGAATCATGATATACATATATATATATATATATAATGTAGAAAGCACTTTTCTCGGCAAGGACCGAGCCATAGGCAGTGCAGCTCAACGTCCGCATCTTACCACATGCCTCAGGATTCTCAGCTTCGGCGAAGGCGTCCAAGATCCGCTCATAGGCAGCCTTCATGGAAACCTTGCGTCTCATGCAGGCATCCCGGTTCTGAATGGATCTGCCTTCCCACAGCTTGAAGGTAAATTCTGAAACAAGACATCTTCTTGGTGCCCCGGAAAATACGGGAACCATTGCAGCTATTCCGGCTGAGAGCGACACGAACTTGACTGCAGTCTCGGCAAGCGAATCCTTGATACATTCGAACAGCAGACCATTCTCCAGACCGCTACTGCAAGAAGGCCTTGATCCGCTCGGCATCTCCATTCGACAGCCAAGGAGCTTCGGGGCATACGTCTGGATGAAATCGTCTCGCCAAGCGCCCTCATAGGATTGAGACGGTTTACACCCTTTCTAATTTTTGGATCTAGGCTTTGCAAAAATTCAAGATCGACACGCCAAAGAGCGTGCAATGATTTCTCTGAATCAGGCCTACTTGTAATGCTTGTGCTCAGACAACGTCGCCATCCCAACACGTGACCCAAGGTCTCTCATATCTTCCAATCCGTCAATTGTCCGTTGCCCAAATCAGAGTTCCGCGCGGAAAGCGCGGCGCACCTCTTTCAAGCTCGCACCCACCTTTGTCATCTCACATGTTCTGATCGCAAGACCCACACCCATGTGAAGGGAATCTTCAGCGGCTGGATTCCCTGAAGAAGTACAGATAGTAAAAGTAGACCCGATACCTCTGCAAGACGTCCCTGAAGCAGAGCCCAGGTTTTCCCCCAAGGTTCGCGCAGGCAAGCCCAGCTCAGCAAAGGCTTCTTCCAAACCTGGCTCTGGTGTGGGTCAGAAAGGAGGGTGGGGGTTCAGGATGGTTCAGGGTTGTCAGGGTTGTTGGCTATTTTGCAGGGTTTGGGACTTACAGTAGGGATGTGTGGGGGGGGGGGGGGGCTGAGCCATCTTTGGGCAGGGAAAGCCTGGTATGTCGACACACTTGCAGACGCCTATAAAAGCCTCTCCCAAGCCTAGAAGCTGCAAAGCAAGAGAGCGAGCATGTGTGAGTAACTTACTGTCCTGCGACAGCACTTGCCCTGTGCCAAGTTGAAAGCATGAGCTGCTCATATTTATAAACGCTGGTAACAAGCCGTATCAGCAGTATGCAAGCGCAGTGTGATCAACGCATCTTCAGGCTGCCTGCAATACAAACGTCGCACATCCCGAGTGAAACGAGTGAAACACGCGCAACGGGCATCCGAAAAGGATGCCAGCCGGACATCACACCTAAACCCAGGTCTGTTGACATGGGCCCATGGCCCTCATGGAAGGCCGAGGGCATGAAATCATGGAGGCTCCTCGGCTTCTGCTGCGATCGCCTCGACACCCTCGCCAAGACCTTGCACGCGAAAACCGAACATCAAGGGCTTCTCACCCTTCACTGCCACCTCACGGTCGGCGGGCTCCTCCTGGAGCAGTGGAGGACTGGAGGGGGAGCAGGGCCCGCTTTTCCACAGTTAGGTTTTCGGCTTTTGCGTTTCTGCCGTGCTAGTCTGTATGCTTGAGATGACCTTGCTGCGATAATCTCCAAAGCATCCAAAGCACAAAAAGCTTTTGACCCTCGATGCACCGTGCGGCAGGCAAAGCAAGCAAGACCGCTCAGAGACGGTTGTCGATGATTGAAGAAATCTGGGGAGGTTTCCACAATAAGGATTCGGGGTCGTGACCTTGGGGTTTCATGTTACTGCCGCCGGTCTTTTTGATGCATCTCGTGCACCATGCCTCAAGACCACAATGTCCACAACGCCTCAAACTATTCTAAAGCACTCGTCAGCTTTGTACGCCTTGCTTTTGCGTTGCCCTTTTTCGTGGGGTGATGGTGATGGGGCAAACCTCAGACCTTTGATCCCCTCCCCTCCTCGCCTCCCGCTACATAAAAAAACACATCTAAAAAACAACTATTCACTTCGATGATCTCACCCTACAGCTGCCCGATGTGTGGTTGACGGTGCCGGCCAAGGGGGGGAAAACGCGTGTCCTTCTTGACGCTCGTGACCCTCTTGCCTTTCGCGATCTTCTTGTCCAAAGAACCGGTGGTCAAGACGGTTAAGGCGGCGAAGAGGGTCAGGGGCCAAGGCCTTCTTGGCCCTCTTGACATTCTAGGCCTTCTCTACTCTCTTGACGCAGGGCCTTCTTGACCTGCTTGATTCTTTGACCTTCTTGACCTCCTGATCCTCTTGACACTCTTGGCCCTCTTCGACCGTCTTGCCGCTCTTGACAGGAGAATCGAACAGCCCTACGCCGAGGGTGGGGAAGTCACCGGGGAAAACGCCGGGCGAGGAGAATGGTGACTTAAAATCTAACAACCCCACACCGGATACACCGAGAACAAAGGCCATCTGTCCTAAAGTACCTATAGGCTGCTCAGGCCGCAAGGTGCATCCCTGTTTTGTTTGAGCATGCTGCAGGGCGTCGGCGGCAAAAAAGGGGTGCTTCGCGCCTACCGCTTTCAAACTCAATACTTTACCCTGGAAGTCCCAAACGCGCATCTCAAAGCCCTAGCCCCGCCCTAGACTTTTCCCACAGCCCCACATGGCTATGTCCGCGACCGTCTACGCATATTCAGCATGCACCCTGTCCTCGAACGGCTGGAACTCGAGGTGCCTTGGCCCGGGCGCCAGGCGCTCCACCATCTTCTCTGGGTGGTGGATGGCCTGATTCCCTCCCTCATGACATCATGACAGCTGTGGCGCTAAGCTGTTGGTTTGCAAACGCACTTGATGCAAAGGCATGTGGCAAACACCATCTGGACACTGGCCGTGAAACCGAAGCCGCAACCTTCCGACAACCATGGCCTTTGTGACTTTTGCTGGGAGGCACAGTATGGCAGAGATGTTCACCCTCAATTACGGAAGAATACTGCGCAGCAAGAACACTTCCGATACCCAAGGTCTCGACGGGTTGCAAGTCAAACGCCGGCTCCTGGATGAGTGGGAGGGCGATGCAGAAGTTAAGTGAGCGTCCGGTTTGGAAGCCGAACAGCTGTTGTGTGCATGGTGAAGCATGCGCCAAGTCGAGTGCTGCCGCACCGTGCAAATCCCCAGCACAGGCCCGAAGAGAAACATGATATGGGAGAGGAGGACCATTCGAAAAACTCAGCGCCGGGAATCTGCCGGCGGTTGACTATCCTCCACATCCACCTGAAAAAATCGTATGCCCTAGAAGTCAAGGGTATGGCGGGCGTCAAGGATCTGATTCAGATTCTTGGAGTTTCACCACAGGGACACGCAGACGCGCCAGGTATGCACATATCTTATAACCTTGGCCCCTTCACCCGTCCATGTCTTGCATCATCTCCACAGCTTCATCCCAAGGGTTGCCTGCCAGCTCACGGTCTGAATTCTGACTTCGACCTCGTATGGTAGGGCTTTAGGGTTTCAGGGTTTGGGCTCGTGGGTCTTTGTACCGGTTAACACTGCTACTTGTGGTTAAAGAAAATGGCCGACCGAAGCAGGGCGCCTTGAACTTCCAAGGCCGCCTGGATATGCCGCCGCACGCGGGCTATGAACCACCACCTGCCACGAGCGTATGTGGGAGTGCACGATGCTGAACGCGATGACTGGGGGGACCGGAGGTAGCAGGGGAAGTTGTCCTAGGTTCCTAGTTATGTTCCGAAGTGGCCAAGGTGTGTTGAAGGATTCTAGGCTGTGGGTCTAAGAACTCGGAGAATGGGGTTTAAAGTTTATAAGGTTTCAGGTAGTCGCTGAAGTTTGGCTTGGCCAGCATGCGCTCCAGAATCTGGATTCACATGATTAACGACGATTCGAGCGACGCCTTCCTGCCGGGTCCATTGGGTAGATTTCGAGGAGCTGCACGAAGCGGTACACACTCAAGGCCTCGGCGCACAGGGGCTGAGGGTGTCGAAGCTCGACTGTTGCCCCAAGATCTTGTCAAACAACTATCACGGGACGCCGCCCGACAAAGGTAATTGAAACAAGAGGACAGTGAGGGCTCAAAGAGTTCAGACGGCACGCAGACCATTCATGGCGGCGAAAGCGTGGCCTCCACAACAAGGCAACAAACTTGGTTGCCATCTTGTCTGTCCCCAATCGAAAACCCAATCACGCAAAAGGGGTATACAAACAACCAACACCACCGACCTCCATAGAGTCTCGTGCAGCTTTCGCACCTGTTCCGTTTACTGCTATCTGCGGCGCAAGTTGTTGAACCAACTTAACATCCACATCCCATGCCCGACTCGAAGCAGTATTGAATGGATGCCCGCATGAGTCTCAGAGTCACATGTTGAACGATCACTCAGAGCCCAATACAACCCAACTGAACGGAAGCCGTCCATCTGCTCATGTGGCCGTGCGGCTGCTTGTGCGAGCTCCTCCGGGTTCAGAACCTGGCACAGACAAGACAGGAACTAGGGAAGCCTGTAAAGCTTTTTGTTAGGGGCCTTTTGGCACTGAAGGGAAGATAGTAGAAAATAGCTGGGCCCTGAGAGTGACGAAAACGAACCCAAGCACGTACAAAAATCCTCTTCGCTGCAATAGAAGATTTCATTACCTCTGACATCCCTCGGCGATGTGGACGCCCATGTCTTCGCGATCAAAACATGTGCGATTGGACCAACGCGACAAGTGTGTGCACACAGTCCAACTTTGGGAAACGGTCCACCTATGTCGCGTCTGAGCATCTGCAAAAACCCTCTGGCCTGCAATGCTTTGACGAAATCCTCGGCTGCCAGAAGCCCGAATTGTTTCCCACCCCTGGCCCCCAGATAGCGATGAGCTAGTAAATCTAAGCATATGCAGAGTTCTAGTCTCCAGGCTTTACGAAAAAATGCGCCAAACCGGTCACAATGCTAAAGTGCAGAGCGTGAGATCACCAAGAACCAAGAACACTGCCCTGTCTTGTCCATAGGAAAGCTGAGTTGCCTCCCAGTAGATGCCTCGAGCATAGGGCGCTTCAACCATCTTTGAAACCGCTTCCGCGAACGCCAGGTCAGCAATTTGGGAAAGTCACCGTTCTGGGGATGAAACAGGAAAGAGCAAATTCGAGCTCATTAGGCCGGGCAACCAGTAGTTGGACGATCTCGTAGTCAAGTGTTCTTGCACGCATGGAACCCAAGATCCATCTTCTGGGCACCCCAAAAGCCCGTCGAGGCGAGTTTTCACGCAAAACCTGTGCAGATCCCGGCAAAAGCCCGGTAGCCTTCTTCCAGCTTCGGCTCCAGCTTGGGTCGCAGCGCAGCGAAGCTGTAGGAGCCTGCGGGTGGCCAGTCCTGGCCATCCATGGTGCGGGTTGCCGGCATGGGCTTTTTTTGATTCCAGCACGAGGCTTAGAATTATAGAAGCTCAGTAAGCCTTAAGTTTGCTACAGACCCCTTCGCACAGGCAGACACGCAGACACGCAGGCACACAGTCAAACAAAAGCACACCCCTAGCAAAGGACGCTGAAGTCTTGGGCCCCCGATTGCTGAACGCAATTGCAAGCGCTCACAGGATGGGCAGCTTGGGAGCACGTTGCAAGTACTCGAAAGTGCTCGAGGTCAACATGAGGTGTGCCAAAGCATGTCGTGCAAACACCACGCAGGGAGGTAGGTGAGACCTTCATACGATCCTCGCCTGTCGCCATCAACATCATCAACTAAATTCGAGGGCCACCTATTGCAAAAGCCTCCGAAGCGAAGGGCAGCATCACAGCAAGGTCTGCACTGCTGCACTGCTTTAACCGTTGAACCCTCCGACACACCCTCATGCGCCAAACAGCGAGCAAAGGCCTGGCACCCTGAAGACTTTCTGAAGTTGAGTCAAGCCGCTTGCGCTTTGGTCAGCTTCCACAGCAAGAGGTCTGGGGCTTCCCTGGCGTTCTGCAGCTCTTTCAGCGTATCGATCTGCGCCGGGCGGTTGAGGGCGTGGGGGTCCTTGGGGAGTTAAGTCTATAGGCTTATAAAAAGCAGCTCACCAGCATGAACTCCTAGACAATCAGTTGGAACTTGGAACTGTCATGAACACTTCCCAAAGTTGACCGTGCAACTTCCATGCCAAGCATAAGTCCGATCTGAAGTTCCTGTCTCATCGCCTTTTCCACAGGTGCCGTGCTCGCCCTTCTTTCTCTACAAAACAGTGCAGAAAGCGATGGATCCCGGATCCCAGAAGCCGCTGGAAGTGTGAAAAAGTCTGCCTTCAGCAAAGCTGGCAGAACATCCTGCCATTCCATGCCCTTGGGCAGCACGCGCTTCAGAGGGACACCTCGAGGCTTACGGCTCTTGATACAATCAAGGAGTCGCACCCAACAATGTTTGCGGCATCTTTGTTGGTTTACTGATTTTGCCAATGCTGGCTCCACCGGTCTGCAAGGTCTGAAACAGCCATTGGCAGTGTACTTACTCATGGGCCTTCTGCCCGACAGACTTGATGGATGCACGACGGGTGGCGGAGCTGCGCCACTGCCAGGAGACGGGCCGTTTCCCCACGCATCTCGTGGAAGCGCAAGCAAGAAGCATGAGAAAGGGCTTAAGTTTTCTCGTTCAGTAGGCAGTTGATAGGGTACTTCGGAGTTCTAGGGGACGGACGCCGTTCAAATTCTAGTGCGGCCAATCGAGTTGATAGTGACAGTGCCAGATCCTATCCCCTCCTGCCCTCAGCCTTCACAAGTCAGCCTTCACCACGCAACATCCACAATCTCGCCACAAAACAAGCGCACACCCTTCAGGCTAAGCTTGGAGCCCATCCCACGACTTGACACTCCCGAAGTTCCTCACAAGCCTGCCTTCTCTTGGAGCACGTCCAGGAAACGTCGGCCATCCTACTGCTGGGACTGCTGGGACTGCTGGGGGGCACCTTGAAGCCTCGAACTTTTCGCGGCGCCCCGGACCTGTCCCCCCCAACTATCCCCAAGAGGGACCTGCATTGGGAACCAAGCCCCGCTTGCGTGGGCACATCTTTGACCTCTTTTTACTTGAGAGGGCGCTTGGGGAGGCGTAGGGGTTCAAGAGATTCTACACGTGGCAAAGAGTTTCTCGGTTTTGGATGGCGTAGCTGAGTTGAAGTTGAACACAGTGGCGCCCCCATTCGCGTCAGGAAAAGAGCGCTGTGGATGACTGCGGTTGCTTTCCAAGGTACTCAGTTCAGAAAACTTATCGTCAAGTTGTCGTGCTTTCTTGGGCTTGTGCTTGGGCCTTCGAGGCAGAGACTTAAATCGTGCACCACAAGACCACGAGCTCGGCTTTTCTGCGTCGACGCGCCGCATCCACTACGTAGCCTCAGGGGTGAGAGGGGATGTACAAGCCCTCAAGCAGAAGTGGACACTCAGAAGTCCTTGTGCTGTATGCGCTCACAAGTCACAAGTCTCATAATCGTGAGATAGCTGTGGGGAAAGGCTGCGCTTCTGTTCCTTGCGTGCCAGTGCCTGTGATCTCTCGACTCCGCGAACGGGAGGTGGCTTGCAGAAAGTGTGCTGCCATGGTGTCCGTCCATGCGCCGGCTCCCATGCCGCCACTCCCCCAACCGATGTGGCCGCCTCGCTTTGTAACTGCGACGTAGAGCTTTGGGTTCCTGCGCAGGTCTTGGAAAGGCATGGTGGAGTAGCTTACGACAGGGTCATCCTCTGCGTGCACCAGGAGCGTCGGAATGAATATCTTGCCAAGGCGAGTGCGAGGGTCGATGGCTTCGTAGTACTCTTTTCCAGTTGCATAACCTTGCAGGGGACAAACTGCCGCCTCGTCAATCTCAGCCATACTTCGAGCATGGAGCAGTTTCTTCATGTCCAGAAGGTGTCGAAACTGTGAATTCCTCAGTTCGTTGAGCATAAGGAGCTTGACACCTGTCGCCATGCAGAAGCTGATGAACCTCTTGCGGATACCTGAGCTAAGACAGAGTGCAGCGCTCGGACGCATCTTCTGTAAAGCATGGTTTTTTGGGTCACTTCTTGGGCTCCTCGTGAGGAACACACAGAAGAGAGCCACGAGCCACCTGAATTTCCCTGTGTCTTGGGGACGGGGGATACACTGGTACTGTACAGAGTAAAGAGGGTGCAACACCAAGCCTTCAGCCCCAGGTGCTTGTGCTGAAGGACTTCATCACTGCAGGCACATCCACTGGGGCGGCAATAGTCACGGCAGAAGAGAACAGCCTCGGTGGACCCTTTCGTCAGGGTGTCCCAGCTTCAAAAACAGAAACTCTGCATCACAAGCAAGCTCTGCACTACCCATTTGGCGAAGCAGCGTCTCAGCACCCACCTCGCCCAAGTGGCGGAGGAGAATAATGCCACCTTCTCAACAGGCACTTGTGTCAAAGGCATCTACAACCCCCAAGTGCTTCAAGTGGCCCATGGAGAAGCCGATGGCCGAGAACTCTGCTCCGGGGCACACCTGCATACTGGAGAGCATCTTTTTGCATCCGGGCTCTGTGCGCTGGAGAGCATCTAAAACCCTAAACCCCTGAACCGCAGTCTCTCGTACCTCGCATCCTTCCCTACTGCTCCTTTCTGACTGACCTCTGGCTCTACTGTGCCGTCCTGTGCCTCATCTGCTCTTCCCAAACCCTTTCCGGTAGCACTGGACAAGAAGTTAGAACAAAAAAGGCTCTCAGATGCTGCCTTGGCCAGGTGCTTCTCTACTTCCGGCATGTCTCGCCAGCAGTCTGCGCAGGCAACCTTCACCGAACTGAGGCCGAGCACAGGGACGCTACGTGTGCTGCGTGAAAGTGTGCTTCGCTGACCGATCCGCGCCAACAACTGGAAGGATGCTGGAACCCGGAAGAAGGCCAGCTTTTGCCCCTGAAGCCCCAGCCTCCCCAAATTTCCATAAACCCTTCAAAGCAGAATTCTGCCCACGCCTTCGAGGTCTTCAGTTCCTGGCCTGCCAGGCCCCGGTAGTTCAGGGCGACAGCCTGGCAGGGCACAAGCCCAGGAAACACAAGTCAAGCAAAGCAGCTGCAAAGCAGCTGGGGTCAGATAGCTGCTTCACATGACGCAGTCACCCTTGCTTCCAGCAAATCCCACCGCCTGAAAGCCCTGGCTGCGGAAGTGCCTTCGCTCCAGGGCTTCTAGGGTCAAGCAGTCCAGGATGGTTGCAGCCGCCAGAAGCTTCAAAGAGACATTAAAACTTCAAACACGCTCCTCTCAAAGGCCGCTTTGTTATTTAGACTTTTGTTTGCGGCATGTGGGTTTTTGGTTCCCTTCTGTGGTCCTGTTCTTCCCTTGCCCCCTTCCTGCCGTCTAGCTGTAGCCAAAACAACAACAGAAAGAAACAGCCCCCAGCGAATCTCGCGTGCCTAGAAAGCACTAGAAGCAGGTCGGGGAGCCGCATAGCGCTCTGGATGAAGCTGGTTCGGCTATCGTTGTTGAGGCCGGGCAGGAGAACAACGACCTGGGAATAGCAAATTTCTTTTGAGTGTCACTGTCTGCGAAAGTTTAGGCCCTGCGGCCGCAGGCATCTCTTGGCCTAGGCCTAGGGCTATAACTTGACAGGAGTTGAAGGGTTCGGATTTGCAACTAGCACCCGAGCTGCTCAGAGGAGAACGGCTTGACAAGACAAACCAGGGTTGGGCTCGGGGGGGGCTTGATGAAGGAATGCCTAGCGCTTTGATTTTGTGGCTGGCGCCTTGGAGCTTGACATTGCTTTTATGGTTTCAGGGTTCATCGGTTCATCAGGACTCCGTAATGTACGGACGACGATGGCCAAGTTGCTCGGCCTTTGTCGTCTAGTGGAGGTTCGTACCAGTGCAGTGACATGGTGCCTGATTCCGGGGATCCGAACGCAGCCAAACGGGTACTCACCGGCGGTATCATCAGATCCCATCACTGTTAGACTCATGCAGATATCTTCTGGTATTTCCCGTGGATTAGCTGAAGTTGGCTTCGGCTTGACAGCAAAGTTCCAGCGATTCGCAACGCCCACCTCCATCCGACAAGTCCATCACTTCCATACGCCCGCGCGCGTGCATGGAAGGCATCACCTCTGTGCACGAAGTTATGGTGGTTGCTAGGGTGCCTCAAAGCCGACGACGAGCTATAGAGAACTGACCGCATAAGGACTATAGATTTAGATGATTACAAGATAGAATAACCTAGCATAATGTAGCCTGCCACGCCGGCAATATCGCATAAAAAGTATATCAAATTGAAGATGTAGTACAAAGCCATATAACAACATGAAATGACACGATGTGATACGATGTGATATACACACGAACACAGGTAGCAACATAACATACTCACATTGTGTATATATACATATTATAAGTACGCATGTTTCCATGTGATAGTCAGTGTCGCCCGGGACCAGCCCACTCAACGCACGTCATATGTCTTGGCCGGATCTTTAGCTCTGGATCGCCGTCTGTGTGAGCTGATGTTCGCTCGTCCTGTTCTCTCAAGCGTGTGTCCTAAATAGCTCGGTCTTCTAGACCGCGGTCTCTATGAGCACATGTTTGTGGACCGGTTTCTCTCTTACATGTTGAGCGCTCCATTCCAAATGACCCGCCCCCCCTCATTTTTGGACCCCTGGCCCGAAATCCTCCTCATACAATCATTTTTGCGGCACGATCGGACGCAATGTGGTGGGGTGTACTAGTAGCATGACATGACATACTAAGGTACACAACGAAGGCCAAGCCCCCGAAGCATTTTGCGAAAGGAGGGGCAGCCCAGAAGCTGCTGTAGACCGTTGAGAAGTAACCACTGAACTCGAGGACGGGGTGCGGCCTCGTGTTCGGCTTTGGGGCTGACGGGCTTTTTTCGGCTTCATGGTCAAAGTGTCTGCAGAGTCTGCTGCTTCCACTTGGCACTTCTGAGCAAAGTTGGGCCACTAAGGTGCACCTTCTGGCTCCAAGTATTCTTTCTGCCCTTTGCAACGGCTTAGAAACCGTGCTTTCAAAGCGAACTAGAGCTTCTCACGATTTGGTCCTGAGACCCTTTTCTGAACTTTTTGAGCCCAACCCATTTGAGGCTCCCCGTGGGCCGACTTAAACGAGGCGAGAGTTTAGCGGTTTGAGATGCTTTGATCGCAGAATTTTGGTTTCGTTGTCGCCAGTGGGGAGTTTAGATGGCACAAGCGCGCGAATCAATACTCCCTGCAGACCCTTAGCCCCAAGCCTCTTGCGTGATGGTGCACGCCGAGTCTTCAGTTTGGGGACCTAAATCTACATGGAATTTGATGTGGGAACCTGTAGAGTTCAGCTGAGTCCAAAGAGCCAGTAGTCACTCAAAAGCAGCTTCACCTCTTGCAAAAGCCGCTGGTCCTTCCCGGGGTGAATTAGCTTGTTGCGTTGAGTATTGCCAGGAGTTATACAAGACCGTTGAGGGCCAGGGCTGACAGGCGGCTTCCTGGAGACTCCTACAGCATCAACAAATGACGAAGATCTACGAAGCCAATATCAAGCCGTGTTGCAAAGGCAGCATGAATTTAACTGAAGCCCAAGCGGCATCACACCCTCGTCATGCCCATGCGCTTTGCAATCTTGCGACGTCGGCACAGCCCACGTGACACAGATCAACCCTTCATATACTACACAAGCTCTTTTGTCTGAGGTCCTCGGGGTGCCGTTCATCCACAGGCGAATGGAAGAGCACGGCCGGACGAAGTTCCTCTCCTTCGAAATGGACTGTAGCAGTAATCGGAAGCCTCCCGATGACCCTTCTTGGAAGTTCCATGGAGTGTGGGGCCAACGGGGCCAACGGGGCTCGGTGGTCTCTACACTCAGGCCAAGGTGCGCAGGTACCGTCGCATGAGCAGCACCGCCAGCGCGGTAGCCGAGGATGCCCCTATCGCAACGCCCTTGGCGACGTCTCGGGAAGCCATGGCTGAGATATGATATGCTGAGATGCTGACAGGCTTTTGGGTGGGTACAGGTCTGGGTCTGGCCTTGGATGAAAAACCTTGTCGTGTTCGCTGTTTCCTTTTGGTGTTCCAGGCTTGCTATCTTCAAGCTTACCATATCCATCTCTTGAGCAGACTGGCCCGGACATCGCCACGTCGTCAGCCAAGCCGGATCGCAGCACGCATCAGCACCCCATTGCGTTGCTGATGTCAAGCTGCGCTTTGTGTGCTTCTTGTGGGTATCTTGTGGTGTAGAAAGGCCGGTCCTCCTCAGCACTCTGCATCTCCTTCCGGCTGCACGACCTGAGGATCCGGGGCTCTCGAGGGTCTTCACACTGCTGCGCCCGAACAGCAGGAGATGGTTGTTCTTGAAGACGTTCCGACACGGATGGCAAACGAGGCTGGACACCATGAAGCTCATTGCAAAGCGCGCAGCTTCAGCACAGGCTCCATATCTTCCCAGAAAAGACCTGGCTCAGGGCTGTCAGGAGGCCGACAGAAAAGGGCTACGTTACAAGAATCAGAACCCTCACAATTGCAGCTCTCTCACCACTCAAGCTGCAACAGCCACCTCGTTCCGAAGTCTGGCACTCCAGTTTCGGGCGGAGCTCAGCGATTCGCCACCTTAGAATCTGGGCGAAGATACGGGTTGCGACGACTTCTTGTTCCGCGAAAGAAGGGCAGTGACTTGAAGGGGCCGCACATCTGCTGGAAACATCTTGTGAGTGTGCGCAAGGCGAGCCCGATGCAAAAGCCTAGACGGTGGGCTCCTGGAGCCGTTTTAGTGTTTATCGGGATGTGCAGGAGGCCTCGGGAATCGGGAGCTTAGGGTTCTGGGCAACCAGAGGAAGCACTCAGCAGAGTCTCCCCTACACTCAATCGTAAGCCCGCTCGAGGCCACTTGCCGTACAAGGTGCTGTATGCTTTCGTGTATACATAAATGGAAATATAAAAAATGAAAAAATAAACAAATAAATATATATATATATATATAGCTACCCACAGACCTACTCGTAAGCCCGGGGTTGTATTCTTCGCCGTAACCCGAAACCCACAACCTCAGATGTGTTCACATTTGTTTATATTTACACTTATATATATATATAGATGCATATATACATATATATTTTTCCTATATATATATATACACATACATATACATATATATATATATACACACTTAGATATTTATATATGCATCCAAATATACATGTATATATACATATCTACATACTATAGATATGTGTATGTATATATATATATATATATGTATGAGCCCGCCGCCTTTAGGGTCTATTTAGCTTTGGGTTTTTCTTATTGCTTTAAAAGAGCGAATATAAACATCGTAATACAAAAATACATATTTACACCTACATATGGCACGCAAATCTCATGCCCAGCGGTTCTAGGCCTAGCCGCACGCCATTACGAACTGCGAATTTCTGGTTATTCTTATTTTCATTTGTTTCTCTTTGCTGTCTGTGTATGCGTGTTCTTTTTTCAGCCTGCGTGAAAAAGTCGCTGTTTGGCTGCGGCAGAAGGGAAAGAGAAGTGAGAGAGGAGAGACAACAAGGAGGCCATTTTAATTTTCTGGAAGGGTATTGAAAAGAAAAGACAAGAAACAAGGAGACGGATGGCACTCTTCTTTATCTATCATCTCTCCCTTCCTTGCCTCTCCCGTTTCCCTCTATAATTCAAAAGACAAGACTTTTTTTGGTCTTCGCAGATCTCTCTCCTCTTCAGGAAGCCCCCTTGCCCGTATTTTGCTTGCTTTCTGAAACGACAAGGAAAACAACACATAGAAAGAGAGGAAAGGGAATGAAACAATAGGCAGTGGAGCTCTTCAGTGTCTTTCCCTATCTCTTTTCTTCTTTTTCTTTTTCATTCAATAAGGAAAAGAAGCTTCCTTTTGTGTGTTTTTGAAATTCAAAGAGAACAGGAGACGGGAAGGGAGAGAGAAAGGAGAGAGGAGAGATCAAAAGGAATGCAATATTAATGGGAAGAGCAATGAAAAGAATGGAAAAGAAATGAAGACAGGAGAGGGAGGTGCAAAATCAGGCTAAGAGAAGATGGTGCTCGTTTTCATCTTTCTTCTCTTGTTCTTTTCCCTGTCAAATAGAAAACAAAAGGAAGAACAATGAACATGCAAAGGAACCCGTTTTCTTTTTCCATTTGGGAACAAGGAAAGAACAGAGGCGATAGGGCGAGAGGAGGGATTTGCTGAAGCATGGGGAGGGTCTACGGACAAGGAGCCAACCCCGCTCAGTTTCCCCATCCATTGAAACAGGAAAAGAAAGGAACAGGGCCTCCATTCCCCTCTTGTTCTTCCTTTCTTGTGTTTTTGTCATATCAAGGGGAACAGGAGAAGAGAAGGGAGAGAGAAGAAGAGAGGAGAGACAACAAGGATTGCATTTGTACTGGGAAGAGCAAAGAAAAGAATAGAAGAGAGATGAATAAAGGAGAGGGAGAGACAAAATAAGGCGCAGAGAAGATGGCACTCTTCTTTATCTATCCTCTCCCCCTTATCTCTCCCTGCCCTCTTTCTTTTCGAAATAAGAAAACAAAAAGGAAGAACTATGAGAAGGAGAAGGGGACGGAAAGGAACGGAAAGGATAGGCCGATAGGAGGGGTATGATGAAGTATGGCAAGGTCCACGCGCCAGGAGTCACCCTCTGCTTACCCTTCCACTGCCTTATCATACAAGTTCCTTTCTTGCGCTGTATCAGTTGAAAGGAAACAGAAGGAGAAAAGGGAAAGGGAAGTGAGAGAGGAGAGATGACTTGGACGGCATTTTTCTGGAAGCGCAACTGTACCGGAATGTGGCCACAACAAGCAGGCCAGGGAGGCTCAGGCGGGGCAACTGTAGCGGAATGTGGCCACAACAAGCAGGCCAGGGAGGCTCAGGCGGGGCAAGTCTCTCCCTAATTAGAAAAAAACCAATCTTGCTCTTCGCAGATAGATAAGTGCCCTTCTTCCACTTCAGGAAATCGCCTTTCCCAAATTTTGCTTTTTGAAGCGAATAAGAAAAACAACAGATAAGAAGAGAGGACAGGGAATGACTAGGTAAAGAGAGGGGCTCTTCAATTGTGCGTTACTTTTCCTTCTTGGGGGATGTCCTTTTTTTCTCCCTTGAAGATGCAGAAAACTATCAAAAGGAACACCCGTTCCATCGCCCATTTACTCTTCAATTCCCTTCCTTATCTCCTATGCTTTTTTCTTTAGTCATTGCAACAGGAGAAGACAGGAAAAGGGCCTCCATTCCCCTCTTGTTCTTCCTTTCTTGTGTTTTTGTCATATAAAGGGGAACAGGAGAAAGAAAAGGAGAGAGGAGCGATGAAAGGAACACACTTTTAATGGGAAGAGCCAAGAAAAGAATGGAAGAGAGATGAATAAAGGAGAGGGAGAGACAAAACAAGTTGCAAAGAAGATGGCGCTCTTCTTAATCCATCCCATCTCCCTTATCTCTCCCTTCCCTTTTTCTTTTCGAAATAAGAAAAACTAAGCAGGAAGAATTATGAAAAGGAGAAGGGTAAGGAAAAGAGCAGAAGAGATAGGCCGAAAAGAGTGATATGATGAAGTATGGCAAGGTCCACACGCAAGGAGTCACCCTCTGCTTACCCTCCCACTGCCCTTATCATACAAGTTCCTTTCTTGTGGTTTATCAGCTAAACGGAAACAGAAGGAGAGAAAGGAAAGAGAAGTGAGAGAGGAGAGACAACAAGGAGGTCATTTTAATTTTCTGGAAGGGTATTGAAAAGAAGAGAAAAGACAAGAAACAAGGAGACGGATGGCACTGATCTTTATCTATCATCTCTCCCTTGCTTGTCTTTCCCTTTTCCCTCTATAATGAAAAAAAAGGCGCCCTCTCTCGTCTTCAGGAACCCGTTCACTTTTTCCGTTTGGGAACAAGGAAAAGAACAGAGGCGATAGGGCGAGAGGAAGAATTTGCTGAAGCATGGGGAGGGTCTACGGGCAAGGAGCCAACCCCGCTCACTTGCCCCATCCATTGTGAAAAGAACAGGGCCTCCATTCCCCTCTTGTTCTTCCTTTCTTGCGTTTTTGTCATTTCAGGGGGAACAGGAGAAGAGAAGGGAAAGAGAAGGAGCGAGGAGAGATAAAAAGAACACAATTTTAATGGGAAGAGCCAAGAAAAGAATAGAAGAGAGATGAATAAAGGAGAGGGAGATACAAAACAAGGCGCAAAGAAGATGGCACTCTTCTTTATCTATCCTCTCTCCCTTATCTCTGCAAGGAATAGAACAGACAGGAAGCAAGGAGACGGAGTGACAAAACTTGTCGCAAAGCTTTATATATCTCCCTTGTCTCTCCCTAATTAGAAAAAACCAATCTTGCTATTCACAGATAGATAGGCGCCCTTCTTCCTCTTCAGGAAACCGCCTTTCCTTTATTTGGCTTTTTGAAGCGAATAAGAAAACAACAGATAAGAAGAGAGGACAGGGAATGACTAGGTAAAGAGAGGAGCTCTTCAATTTTCCTCCCTATCTCTTATGTTACTTTTCCTCCTTTCCTTTCTTGTGTTTTTGTCATATAAAGGGGAACAGGAGAAGAGAAGGGGAAGAGAAGGAGAGAGGAGCGATGAAAGGAAGACAATTTTAAGGGGGAGAGCCAAGGAAAGAATGGAAGAGAGATGAATAAAGGAGAGGGAGAGACAAAACAAGGCGCAAAGAAGATGGCACTCTTCTTTACCCATCCTCTCTCCCTTATCTCTGCAAGGAATAGAACAGACAGGAAGCAAGGAGACGGAGTGACAAAACTTGCCGCAAAGCTTTATAATCTCCCTTGTCTCTCCCTAATTAGAAAAAACCAATCTTGCTATTCACAGATAGATAGGTGCCCTTCTTCCTCTTCAGGAAATCGCCTTTCCCTTACTTGGCTTTTTGAAGCGAATAAGAAAAACAACAGATAAGAAGAGAGGACAGGGAATGACTAGGTAAAGAGAGTAGCTCTTCAATTTTCCTCCCTATCTCTTATGTTACTTTTCCTTCTGGGGGGATGTCCTTTTTTCTCCCTTGAAGATGCAGGAAACTATCAAAAAGAACACCCGTTCCATCGCCCATTTACTCTTCAATTCCCTTCCTTATCTCCTATGCTCTTTTCCTTATTCATTGCAACAGGAGAAGACAGGAAAAGGGCCTCCATTCCCCTCTTGTTCTTCCTTTCTTGTGTTTTTGTCATATAAAGGGGAACAGGAGAAGAGAAGGGGAAGAGAAGGAGAGAGGAGCGATGAAAGGAACACAATTTTAAGGGGAAGAGCCAAGAAAAGAATGGAAGAGAGATGAATAAAGGAGAGGGAGAGACAAAACAAGTTGCAAAGAAGATGGCGCTCTTCTTAATCCATCCCCTCTCCCTTATCTCTCCCTTCCCTTTTTCTTTTCGAAATAAGAAAAACTAAGCAGGAAAAGGAGAAGGCTTTCTTGTGGTTTACAGCTAAACGGAAGCAGAAGGAGAGAAGGGAAAGAGAAGTGAGAGAGGAGAGACAACAAGGAGGTCATTTTAATTTTCTGGAAGGGTATTGAAAAGAAGAGAAAAGACAAGAAACAAGGAGACGGATGGCACTCTTCTTTATCTATCATCTCTCCCTTGCTTGTCTTGCCCTTTTGCCT